ATAAGATAGATAAGATAGATAAGATAGATAAGATAGATAAGATAGATTAGATAGATTAGATAGATTAGATAGATTAGATAGATAGATTAGATAGATAAGATAGATAGATAGATAGATGGATGGATGGATGGATGGATGGATGGATAGATAGATAGATAGATAGATAGATAGATTAGATATACACATGGAGTGTCTTGGGTACATGGAGTGTCTGGGCATGAATGGTGCGTCCCACTTCCAAGTTCTCCCACTTCATACCTTGTCTGGACAGCGGCCAACCCACGTCCATGGCTCCCCCCCCACTCGCCTTGCAGCTCTTCTCTGTGGACCTGAACTTCACGCTGTGGGTCAAACAGTTTCGCATGGAATGTGACGCTTTGGGGGCGGGAAGTGATACTACCCTAGACTTCCAAGACCAAAAAAGTTTTTGACCTGGTGTTTGTGTTGTAAAATCCTTAGTTGATTCGGTAATGCCTATTAAATTAATGGTGGTTGGAAGCCTAGGGACTAGTGATTAAAAAAAAAAATATATATATATATATATACATATATATACCTGGACCATCCAAGGGGTGCCCAATGGAAGTGCCTAGGTAGTGTGGGGTAGTCCATTGGACACCCCTTGGATGGTCCTGGTATACATAATGAACCCATTTGACCGCCGCTTTGATTCGGAAAGACCCTCTTTTTGGGTGGTGGGTGGTCCAAAATCGAGGGAAACACCGAGGTTCTAGTTGAATGGTCTTTAGGGGACCTGAAAAAGCATTTGGACCAATATATACTTCACTAGGGGACCAATGGAATAAGTATAGCCCCCCCCCATTTGAATTGAACATCCTCTTCATATTACTAAGAGTTTACATTAGTCTCTAGAACTTCTAAATATATGTCCTCATATGCCGTCTGGGTACAGTTCGTCCCCAGGTCCCCGTACGGACACTCCGTTCCTTCCCCGCGCCGGACCCACCTCCAGGAACGTGCTGAAGCTGCCGGCCGTCAATGAATTGGCTCGCAGCGAGGCCTCCCTGGTCACAGGCTCGGCAAGGGACGGTGTGGCGTTTCAAGGTCAGCGCGCTGGGTTCCGGCGCTTCACGAGCCGTGGACGGTGTTCACCATGGTGACATATGGTGACTGTATGTTTGTTTGATATTGTTTGATCACGTGTTCACGGGCCGACCATGGTTCAAATCTTCCATGATTGGCAGTCTCGGCAGAGTTCACCATCTCGGGGGCGATGGCGAACATGGATCTCGGAGGAGAACAATCCCCATCCAGCATCCAGGATGGACACTTGTGGGGGGGATGAAGTGGGGCCATGTCGCATCCATCCAGGCTCTGGGGGATCGCAGGCGGTCCCTCTCGTGAAAATACCCTGCTTCCAAAAAAAAAGCCAGTGCTGTTTTCACGCTGCCACCTGACTGCCACGGCCGGGAGTGCCAAGATCAGCCACCAAAACCTGAGCAAACTCAGCATTGGAACAACACAGTCTCCACATCTCTCCAGATGTCTCGCACACAGGGAACACAGAGCTTCTGTGCCGGACCCTTTCCCCGAAGAATTCAGGACTTGTCCCAGCAGTTCCGCGTATGAATCGAGAGACATGCACACACACAACACACACATCCTATAAGCCAAACAAATTCGGGATGATGGATAAGCCATGACAAGCCCACTTGCCAGTACACAAGAGACAAGCCCGGACCCCGGTCGGACGCCACCTTACTCCGCCCCATGCGGCGGAAGTTCTCCCGTTCGCCGACGAAAGGACGCTTGAAAGCACCTGGTTTTGGTAGGCAGACGATGCGCAAAGTCGTTGACCGCAATGGATTTAGCTCGGTAAAGACATGGTTCAGAGACTAAAGCCATACGTGCTTTGAATCCTAATAGGGTTCTGACTTAAGACGCGTTTCTGTGTCACACCCCTGTCCCTGTCCAGAATCCTTAAAAAGGGTCTCGAAACTGGTTCTGCACCGAGCTTCAATTGGTGGAGTGTGCGGATTCCTTCGCTTTGGGTCGCACCAACACCGGGTAGCTCATTCGCTCACGCCTGAGGAGCTTGACCTTTCTGTTTCAGATTCGGTCGTCCATTCTGTCTGTTATTATGTCCTTTCCTTTCTCCCGGTCGGTGATGAGATCCTCACACCAGGAATCGGAAGAACAGTCGTCTAAGCCCCTGCAGGTTTGTTTTGGCCCGCAGCCTGCACCGGTCCCTGGGACATCCACACAGAAACCACCAACCAACGGAAAAACACTGCGAGAACATCATCCACCATCAAATCAGGATCATTTGGGAGGATCCTCGTCCCAATGCTAAAGCCAATTCAACTCTCAAGTTCTCTGAGGATGCACGAGGATGCTTGAGGCGACCTCTGGTGACATCCAACAATGGCCCTTATTAACTCTAACTCATTTGCCGAGAGGCATGGCAGCTGGCTGAGAACAGGCATCAACAAACTACGTCTATGACTTTCCCGCTTTCAGTGCACGAGCACGAGCTGCCCGGCACTTGGGAGCCCAAAGTGGGCGATCGGCACGGCCAAACGGCCGCGATAAGGCGCTCAGGATGCTCAGCGAAAAGCGCCACGGCGAGTACCCAGTGGATCCTGGAGTGCCTCTATAATAACCTACATCTTCATTCGTACTAATAGATAATATGTGATGTTTTATGGGGACTATAGAAATATATAGAAATCATACTATATTTTGGTAGTTTAGTTGTTGCCTACTTTTTGGCAAACTGCTTAGGAAAAACTGGACCTTCACCAAGACGACACATTTTCTCAGAGATCTCAGAGGTTGTGCAATCGATACAATCTACAGGAACAATAGGCTCAGGATGGCTCAGGAACCTTGTCCGGGATGATTCATGGTGAGGGCCAGGCTAGGCTAGACATGTTTGTGAGTTTGGTTCTTTTCGGGTGAAGAACCCCAAATGCATAATTCGTGCCCGCAAAAATTCATCAAAAATAGCCTCAAGAACCCTCAAACGACATCACATCTGGAAAGCAAGGTCAAATGCTTACTTGGCTGTTTCGCAACAATCAGAGCTGAGAAAGTTCGGATATGAAAATTCACAGAGCGTAGCCAATTCAAGTGGTTTGGCGGTCAGAGTGGTCAGAATGCCAAAACGGGGTCAATTCTGGTTCCAGTACCGCACTTGTAGTTGATGAGTTTCACCACTAGGGGCAGGGTCGATTTGGGATGATTTGAGAGAAGAGGGGGGGAGGTCGGCAATAACATGTTGGACAGATCGTACCCCGTTTCAAGCCCAAAAAGACCAACACGTACACTTCCCGGGAAACGTCTAGAAAAAGCACCTCAATTAGCATCGACCAAATGTTCTTAGACACTAAAGTGCAGAGTGTTTGAGGCATTGCATTCCCCCACAGGTCCAAGACTCAATGTACTGGAGATGGTCATACAAAAACACTACTCGGATCTACATCAAAGGACCAGGTCCTACCGGGTCCAAACGGACTTGTTGGGCGTCCAATCACCATGCCGCCCGTGTGTTTTTTAAAGCCCGGCGTCCATGGAAATCGAGCCGCAAAAAAAGCCTTGATGTATTCACTCAGTGTCTGTCCTCCGAGAAAAGTATATCAATACAGTAATATCTACCAGGACCAATCCGATGGGTGTCCAATGGAGATCCCTCCGTAGTGCAGGGTAGTCCATTGGACACCCGGGTGGTCCAGGTAGTAATATCTGGCATTATGGCCGCACGGTGACCTCGGTGAGTCTGGCAGCTTACCGACCGAGAACCCCCCGAAACATGAACGCCCGAACCCGGAATAGTGGATCCAAAAACAAGGAGCCTTCTTCAGTCCAGAGGCCAGAGGTGTTTGGCATCGCTTTCTCCCCCGGCTTTCGCCCTTCAGAACCGGTTTTTTCCCCCCCCCCGAACCCCCACGGTGGAACCGCCACAGCCGGCGGTCCGCCCTTCGGTTCCACCGCAGCGGCTCCAGGGGCGGTGGGCACCTGCCCAGCTTGAGATGACACGCCGCACGGCAGGTGCGGTGCGCCACCGAGTCCTGCGCACTGCCAGGGCGGTGCCGGCGCCACGGTGGTGTTCGGGAAACGAGCGAGCGAGGTTCGCATCCCAATGGGAGAATTTAGATGCGTATGCGGTGTAGTGCAGGTCCAGGGAGATATAGCGATGGCGGATGGTGGTATTTACCAGCACGTTTCCTCCTTGGCGGTTCCTAGGGCTAGCGGCTAGAAGCTCTGACATCGGAGGGCTCGAGTGTCCACCGACCACCTGAGACCAAATGAATGTGGGTGGACGCTGTTCGCTACTGCACTTGGCGACGATCTGGTCTCATGGAGTGCATAGATGTCAGGCTTTAAGCATCCCTAAATCAAGTGCAAAGAAGCCAAACTCGCTGGTGGCCATGTTCAATGAGACGTCCACCAACAGCGCGGTGAAGTAACTCAGTGAGTAGTGACCCCTACTCTGTGGGTGTTCAAGACACGTAAGGCAAACGGCTGGCCAATGTGCCAGAATCCACGCTGGAGTTTTCACGGAGTTTTCAGAATGGCCAAGAGCCAGCCTGATAAAACCTGAGGCAGCCTCAGTGTTCCACGTCTAAGTCTACGATTTATGCTACTAGTAGCTTTCTACTACTAGTAATGCCCTTGCTACTAGTACCTTCCTGTTACTAGTAGTAGTGGCCTCCAACCATAGCGATGGCCTCTACCTAGTAGCTTCTAGCTACTAGTAGCTTCTTGCTACTAGTAGCCATGCCCTTGTTACTTGTTACTAGTAATAGTAGCTTCTTGAGTCTCCGCTCCGCTGCCCCTTTTTGCGAAAAAAAAGCCACGAAGCTCCGCTGGGCATGGTGCTTCCATGCACGGCTGGGGATGGCCGTGCAGCTGCCGTGGGGATGGGCCCCAGCTGCATCTAGCGGTAGTTTCCATTGTTGATGCCTGAGCTTCCGAAGGCATTCCATCCCATTCCCAGTTCGATGATGATGGTTAGGAGGGATATGTGGAGAGGTCGAAAATTCGTTGATCCATTCTCAGTTCTCCGTGCATGATGATGGTAAGGGACTGCGGGCCGACATCTCAAGGTATCTCAAGGTCAGGAGATCCAAAGAGGACCTGATCAATCGTTGATCGACGGCTCTACAGTCTACAGGTTTACTGGGACACCCGCACACACGTTCACACACGTTCACATGTGGATGGCATGGTTTACTGCTCTGGTGCTCGGCACCCAAAAATTCCATGCGAAGGGTGACACACCCTGCAGTTCTCCAACTCGGGTCACCGGCGGAATGCTGTTCTAGTGACTTGGACCTCATCTATTGAGGAGGGGCTTTGGTGGACACGAACCGGCACCAAGCCAATCATGCTCAGCTGGGGGTCCAACTGCATATAGAAAGTCCAAACATCACCCTAGTCACTATACAGTCACTACGCTTGTTTATCTTGAACTGGTTGTTCCATCTTCAGAGAGTTGCCGGGCCAAATGGATTGCTTGCCTCTACCTTCACCCAACCTGACAGGTGTCCGACAGGTGTCGGCTCCCTTGGTGTCTTAACAGTGGCAGGTGTTAACCTGTTGGAGGGTGGTAGTTGAGTGGTGGAAGGCCGAATCGCCGTCCTCTGGCCTTTTGGCCCCTTTTCGAGGTTCTTTTTCCGGTCGCCACTGACCCCCTGGAAAGTCTTCAGTCTTCGCCGTCGGATGCCGCCGAAGGACCCGTTCAGCAAGAAGTTTCCGCACGATTCGGAAGGCTTGATGAATCAAATGGGGCCGGTGCTGGGAGCCCGGTGTTCGTCCATGGAGCCCTGGTCTTGGTTTGGTTTCCGCTTTTTCGCCCCAGGCGCGGTCGATGAAGTAGGCTGGGTTCGCTGGCAAGCACACCAGGTTGCCCTCATACCTTGGCAGATCGATCGAGCGATCCGAGCGAAGCGCAGTCAGACTCGGACTCCGGGCACCACTCCGGGCCCGACGTTTGGGGTTGGTTGGACACCCCGATTGTCACCTCGACGTTTCGCTGTTATGAGACACCCCGAAAAACCAACGGGGCCCCTATACCAGCACCCTCCAACAGGTCACCAATTGAGACCTCTTAGGGCCTTACAACCCTCCAAAGGAGACCTGTTGGAGGGTGCTGGTATAGGGTGTGTTTTTTTTGGGTGGACTGACTGAAGGTTTTTCGTCAGACCCCTTCGGGTCACCAAACTCCTCAGACCCTTCGGACTCGACGCCACCGGTAGTCCCGGGGCGCCCGGTAGTCCCGGCGCAAGGACCCCGTGCTTTGGACCGTGGAGGATCGGCAGTATGACAAGTCTGAGTTGGCGGTTGGTGTGCTCACGCATGCCTAAGGATGAACACATGATTGTTAGGGATGGGTCTTAAAATCCATCCATGACTAGGGGCCTGCACATGATCTCTGAAATCTGGAAATATTCAACTTCACGACGAAGCAAGTAACAAAGTCAGATACATAAGTTACCAAAAACTGTCTGCAGGAGCAAGTTGTCTTCCAAGGCTCGATGTATCTCAAGTAGGCCCTGGGATCTCTGAATGGTTCGGAGGGTGTGTGATCTACCGCACTTACCTCACCGGCTACACCTAATGATCCTGGCCTGAGTTCGAACCCCACCCACGCGACTCCACCCAAAAAGGAGTCCTGTCTTGCGATTTGAGGCTTCAGGATGCTGAAAGGGCAACTTCCTGGCACCAAAAACTCCCCTCTCCCATTCATCCAGGCTTTGCGGGGTCCCACCATCCAAGAGCCAGCCTGGGGTGGATCAAATTTGGGAGGATCCCCCACAGCGGCACCGCGAGCGCGGCTAGGGTTGTCGCGCGCGCGAGCGCGCGAGCGCGGCCAAGGCCCGGTTCGGATCCAAGAGGCTTCTTGACGATGTTCTTGAGCTTGTCTTCCATTCCCGGGATGTTGTAGATGTCCTGGCCGGATCCGCGGATCCGGCATTCTGCTGGCAAGAACGTGAAGACGCGCCAGGCCCGGCCTTTCGGAATTCTCAAGAAGATCCTAATATCATTGCAGTAGAGCTTTAACATGCACCAAGTAATATGCCAATATGATATAACTATACTATACTGCTGTACGGTGTATATACAACTATATATACTATATACCATTGCCACCCCCCCGGCATTGGAAAAAACTTGCATCCACCGCGCAGTTCCAATCGGTGTCAGCAACTAGCTGGCAAGCCCTAAGGAATCTCCTCTCCCCTGCTACCGAGCAGCGGAGACCTGCTTGTAGGGGCCATGCGTGCCGATGAGGCCCGCGATGGTGGGGAACATCCCGGGGAACTGACGATAGGCCTAAGCCGGAGGCCGTGGGCTAAGCCGGAGGCCGTCCGCCGCGCGGCGCGAGTTGCTTGGGGTGGGCGAGGTTTGGTTCGCCGGCTTTCAGGGGAAGGGCGACCAAGCCTGGTGAATGAGCATGAAGCGTTCAATGAGATCTATCTCAAAATATCTGAAATCATCACTTTCAATACAGTGTCGTAGACCTTTGACACTGCCCAATGGTCCAACACGGCTTGGTCTGCCCAAAAAAGTGGTCAAAGCACGCGCCGACCTGGATGTTGGCGTTGTTGATGTCGACCTTGTCAGAGCCGCCCAAGTACTGGATGTTGTCCTGGGATCGCTCACTGACATTGCCATACGCACTCTCATTGGGGAAACTACTCCGGTGCAAGGGAAAAAAAAATCATGGAAAATCCAAGGAAATCGGAACAATCGGAACAACCACATGTTTTGTGTTAATTTCAGTGCTCATTTCGGTGGTGCAGCCTTCTCCGTGAACCCTCTTGGGATGCACTGCACTATGTCTGAATGGATCCTCGCAAGTCCTAGCAAACTCACCGTCACTACGCGCCGGTCATTTGGCCGTCAACCCTAGATGACATCAGCACATCGACCTGGAGCACCAAGCAAAACCCTACCTACCTACCTATCTACCTATACACCCATATGCACCCATGAACAGATGATCCGGAAGATCGACAGGCCATGTATCATAGTCCACCATGGCGTTGGCAGCACCTGGCAACGCCACAGCCACGGCTGCGGCGCTGGAGGCGAGCCTAGGTCGGAGTGACGCCAGCTACGCCATGGTCTGCAAAGAGGGGGGCAATGGTTCCATGGTTCCACCAAAAGAACGAGTGCTTTCACCCAAAAAGATCCTTCTATCCCAAACACTCCATGTATGATATGTAAGCCATATATGCCTACATTGGGGTGGGTTTGGGGGTCAATGTATAATATATGATAATACATGGAGTGCCTGGGTACAGTGGAACGTCGGCCCTGCAAAAACCACGTTTTGCTCTACAAGGGGGTCTGCTAGAGGCTTCCTTTTTTTGGAGGGACTGAGGGACTTGCCCGACGAAGAGTTCTTACCCAACTAACTAATCATGTTAACCTCTTTTCAATGGTCTTTCAGCAGGGCAGCCGGGCTGGGGTGGACAACAGCTGGGAGCAACACGAAGCGGTTTACCAGCTGGGAGCTTCGTCACCACAACTGTTCACCAGGGTTTTGGAGGTGTTTCTACACAGATGGCGAAGAATTGGTCCACTGAGAGGTCGGTGCCCTGAGAAAAAAACCATCTCCCCAGCGCGGTCGGGCTTATCTCCCTGACCCGTGTTTTAACATGTTCGAGAAAAAAAAAAGAAATGATTATTGATTCTATAGAACGAACGAAACAATTCCCTTCTAAAGCAAGTGAGTCACCTGGTTCCCTTCGAACCGTCCCACCTACCCTTGCGAAAAACCCTTGCGATGCCTAGCAGCTGCTGCTTCCGGGAGTTCATCCAGCCCAGCAGCGCGCCCAAGCCTCGGTCCGACCGAACGAGGCTCAAGCAAGCGAACGACGGGAGGACCCATTGCGACCGTCGGAGGGCAGCGGCCAGGCGTCAGCTGGATGAAAAAGATGAAAAGCATTGAAAAGCACTGGATGGGTCGTGTTGGAAGGGAATTATAACAAGAAAACCAGGCCAGGATAGATCCCTTCCAACATCCTCCAGATGTCTCGGAGATACATGCTTAGGATTTGCAGCCCTAACAAGGAGATCTGTGCCACCAGGCATTAGGAAAAGCATGGTATTTGCAGCTTGGGTGGTCCAGGTGGTGCAGGAGCTGTTTCCATCAACCATGACTCCAATTTCGACTGGCCAGGTCGGGTTGGGGTCAGGGTGGGGTGGGAGCTGACGTTCATCTACGGTCGGGTGGATGCAGGACGCTGCAATACTCGGTTGATTGCAGCGTTGGTGTTGCACATTTTGGTGATGTTCATGGTTCCTAGTGATGTGTTGAAACAAAAATAGCTCTATATATATAGCTAATCACTGATGCACATTCGAAGCACATCAGTTCCACTGATACAAATCTCCTTGGTGTTGGAACATGCACCAAATTTCAAGAGATAGTGCAAATACGTACGTGTAATCAAAATCATTCCTGCAGCCAGGTGTGTTGTTAAAAAATCGTCATGAAGTGATTGACAATGCAATAACAAACTTCAGTCAGATCCGAAATCCCGCCAAGTAATTAGGCTTGCAGTCAAGCCCCGGGCACTTCATGCGCACAAAGAAGTCTTGGTCTTGAATATATAAGCTAAGAACCCCCCCCATGCATTGGAATTTGCTTTGACCTCTAAAGACGGCAAGGGAAGACCTTACACTTCCCCAATCGTCGCAACCAACCACCCAAACACCCTGAAGGTACAGGTCACATCGAATCTAGCCCAATGAGCATGAGTGTTCAATGATTCAAGTGCAGCACATATCACATCTCCAAACACATGCCCAAACACCGTGCCACAGTCGAGGGACCAAAGCCGCCCGCCACCAATGCTCCAATGCTGTTCTCCTCTGCCTCCAACTGCACTTGCGGCATGTCACGTGCTGCAGCAAACACCTCTGGAGCCGTATGTCTCTCAGGCGTAGTGCCCGGGGTCACATAAGCCACAGCGGGCAGGGCCAGCACGGCAAGGAGAATGGCACGCATGGCTCAAATGGAGGTGTTGGAGCGTGTGGCGGGGAGCTGTTTGAGCCAACTGAGGAGTCCAACAGGACATGGACATGGCCCAAGCACGGTGATGGGAGGTTTTGATCCGAACTCACGACTCACTCTCTTCCCATACGGTTCGTCTGGGTGTGTGGTATCGCAACCATGGTCTCCCACTATGTGCCACAGTGTCTTGCCACAGTTCCAGAACGAGTGGTGAAACAACAAACACCCAGCCCATTCCGACTCCTCCAGGCCGATGGCCAAGGTGTAGCTTTTCAGGGCCTCCTCATACTCTTCATTCACATAGTGAACCTCGAAGATCGACCCGCGCTTCGACCCGCACCTCGCGCGCCTTCGATCGACCCGGACCGACCCGCGAGATGGGAGGTTCAGCCGATTCAGCCGATTCGGTGGTTTCACAGGGTTTCACTGAGAGCAGAGGTTCCCCCAAAAGCGTGAGATTGTGGTGGGAGGCCACTTTGGGTGCCAGAAGTGAAACGGGCTGGGGAGTGCGGAGTGCGGTCGGTGCACGGACACTTCGACCTCAATATGGCCGGTTTCGGCTCAAGGGCCTTCACAGAGTCGAGAGGAGCCTCCCATCCGGTATCACCGGCAGAGACTGCGACCGGAAAAGGTCGCAGCCTTCTTCGGATCTATTACTGTATACCCTAAGGTATATATATATATATACATGTCCCCCATGTATGACCCTATACCATTTCGGATCTATACCCTATACATCCCTATACCATACATACTACCATACCAGGAATAAGTATATAATATATATATATAATATAATATGTATTTATTATATAATATATAATATAATATGTATTTATTATATAATATATATATATACGTACATAATACCCTAGAAGTCGAACCACCATTGTTTTAATAGCCTTTACTGAACCACCATTGTTGTACCTAGGGTTTGAGACTATATACAACCCCAGAATCAACTATTTAAAACATGGTCGACCTTGACTTCCACAAGTCATAAGGAGACATATCATCTCTCTACGAACCACCAGATGCCCACCAACCCACCTGGCTCCACGTCTTCTCCGAGCGGCATTGGCATTGCTGAAGAAGCTTCCCGGATCCATCACGCCACCGACCGACCGGTGCCGACCGCGGTGCCGCGGTGCGGCGGCTGAGAGGCCGAAACGCTGCTGGAAAAGATCGGGTTCAGCGGGTTTTGGGAGGGATCTTGGTATGATTTTTGCGATTTGGTGGGTTTGGGGGGAAGAACGGCTCGTGAAGCAGCGAACCGGGCCGGCACGGGAGAAGGTGTTCTTGGGATTCACGGAACGCCATTAAGTTCACTGAACAGGGACGAGGTTCAGACTGCCTTTTATGAACTGCACCCTTCACCGCGAGTCTTTGGAGAGGTCCTTGTCCCCTCCACCTCGCAATCACGGAACTCGAACCGAAGGCTGAAATGGTTTCCGCCCTATCTCCCGTGTGGAGAGTTACTTGGCCTATTCTCCCCAGCTCAAAGAGCTGCATAAATCAAAACGAAGTGTTGGAGCCAGCGTGCCAGCAGGTCGGTCTTTGACAGTCCATCCACCCCACTGTATGTTGTTCCAGTGGCCGTCTTCGGTGAAGGTGAACGTTTTGCAGCGTCGCCCGCAAACTGATTTGACTTTGGACTAATTATAGCTATTTGCCCTGTGGTCGAAGGCTGCTGGTATATGTGCTTGGCGCATCCAAATTATATAGCACCGTTGGTATAGAATTACGAATTGGTCCTGCTTCTGCGAACGCCACGCCGTGAAAACTGAAAAATACATGATGCACGATGCGCGACTCAGTCCGCAGATCGATTCCTTTGGGACAAGTGATGGGGGTGTCTCTCTTCAGCTGAATGGCATGCTTGATTCCTGGCCCCAAGCCAGCAGCCTTTTGGGAACGCGTGCCCTCCGGGCTGGTCCAACGTGAAACGGCGCGGCCGGCTGCGTGGCCGGCTGCGTCTGGTGCGGCTTCACCGGGCACTGGCAGGTCTCCTGAAGTGCCAGGTATGCTCAGAACGTGAGACCCGAGGCCGGGCGTGCCATGGAGTCTGCAGCGGTGTACGCAGAGGGACCTCAGGCTAAACGTACAACAAGAACACTATAGGCCTTCCAAAAGCCAAGACCATTGATTTGTTGCCCGTCCAGTTATCCAGATTCTGCCGAATGGATTCGGAGATTCGGGGTCTGCCCCAACAAAGCTCGAATCGGTGTCTAAATGGTTTCGAGGCAACATGCCACCCCTGAAGCCTTTGTAGTTCAAATCAATGCCGATGAGCTACGAACGCCAAAACGCCATGGCTACCTGACCTCTTGGATGAGGAATGTACCTGGTCTGCTGGATGACTAAAATGCATCATAAGCATCACAGCACTGGATCAGCATCGGGCTCGTATGGCCAAAATGCCATCCAAGGTTGGTAGGGATCACATGGCTACTACAGCTGAAGGGTTGCTCTCAGCTGAAGCACAATGACCACTCACCTAAGAAGCGGTCACAAAGATACAAAGCAATTGAAACATCATTTACCCCTCACCCCTTGTGTGAGGGTCCTGGTTGCCGCCAAGCGGATGATGGTGTCTTTCTTTCCCAGGTGCCCTCCTCCACTCAAATGGCTGTCCGGAACATGGTACTGTGAACAGTAGCAATGGGATTGAAGAGTTTTGATCGAAATTGGTTGGAATCTTCACAGAGTCTGTCTCTAGGCACCATTTTGTCTTCCAGCAGGTTCCATGTGCATGCCTTCATATGCCTTCATTGAGGGGCTGTTGCTTGCCACAGGTCCTCATCTGCTTGGCTGCAGCAGACTGAGTTCCAGGCTCCATCGGACAAGTATATATGCCAAAGTATTGCCTACAGCCCACTCTACAACCCCTCCTCTCTCATGACCATGAAACCGGGCCAAGACACTGGCTCCTCCATGCACCTGCTGCAGAAGAACCTTGTCCCCATACAACACCTCCGCGGCCAATCAACTTTGGCCTGTGCAAAGTGAACGTGGATTGAAAAGCGTGAGCAACGTCGAACGCGTTGCGAGAGAGATTGGAACTGTGAAAAAAAGAACTCTCCAAGAGTCTATGTCTATAGACTTTTGGGCTCTCCGTGCGCTGGGAAGGACGTCCATCTGCGCAAGCGCATTTGTAGCGCTGCAGGAGGGTCCTCCTCTGGTGCCCCAGATCCGGGCTTTGCCGGACGTCAGGCTGCATTTACCAACTCCTCCTCCTCCTGTGGCCGGGTGACGGCAAGGGTGAGGAACCATTTCTATGGCCTCCGTGCCAATGATGGCACTTGATGCCTATTGCAAAACCTGCCTTGAGGCCAAGGAAGCGGCTCCTGCGGCTCCTGTTTTGCCTATCTGAGTGACCTCTATATACTGGTGAGTCACCAACCACCCCAAATATGGTCTTTTCATGCCTGTTTCTTCTCCAAACAGGGCTCACTCACCTGGGCTGCAGTGCTCAAAAAACCCGTGGGTCTTGTGTCCTCGATCGATACCGGGATTCCGGGAACGCGCCTCATTGGCCATGAGGAAGTCCTGGAAATAGCTCCACGCCTCTGCCCTCATCCTGGCGATGTGGAAAAGGATCAAGGATGAGGCCCTGGTGTAGGCCCTATGATGCCAGGTGTGGCGGATCTATATCAGGTGAAACCACCAAAAAAAAAGAAAAGCACCCAGAACTCCCCCCAAAACGAACAACGGGATCCCACCGACTTTCGAACCACAGGACGTCAAAAGAGAAGAAGGGACGAGAAGGGGGTTGCTGCAGAGTTCCGAAAGCTGAATGAGATGGCTATAAGCAAAGCTGTTCAGGACTCAGGAACATCGCTGTGGCTACACAACCCCGATGTGCCCCAAATCACGCTATGCAATCACATTCAAAGCAACCCTCCTGGCGCCCTTCGTGTCGATCAACTGCCAACTGCGCAGTCGAATAAATCACTGTATAGTGATTCCAGGTGATTCCAGGTGTGTTCACCTTCCAAAAGCCCCCCCAACCCGATGGGCGGTGCCGCGCTGATTCGGCCCACCTGCGACGGTACGGAAGGCTTGCGATGAGCAGGGAGCCCAAGGAACTCAGCAGCGACAGGTATGGCAGCACCTGTGCGAAATGAAGCCAGCCCGGCTAGCCCCCGCCCTCTTCCTGAGATCAACACAACACAAAACAAAACGTCCTGGAGTAGATAAAATATGAGAAAGCAAATCCCCAAAAAGAAGTGACCAGCTTCCAGTGGTTCTTGAAGTTTCCCTCCAGCATGACTCTTCCCTATGTAGCCTAGAAGTCCAATGAGTACATGTTTGACCCGCACCGGAACACCTCAAAATCCTAAAAACGTGTGTATATGGTGTTGGACTATATAATATATACCCATTAAAAGTACATATGATCATACATCTTATATATGTACAATATCTCCATTTGCAGCTTCTCGAGCACCTGTGGTGCGTCATCGGAGCTCCGCTTCTTGTGCGGCAAATCCGCGAAATGGCCACCCGAAATGGTTCGACGGTCGTCGCATTCTTGCAAGCCCTCGAAGCGTTCTTGGGGTTGAACAGTTATATTGAATTTGTCCAAACTACGTTTCATGTTGTCGAAAAAAAAAGAATGTGTGTGTTTTATGTGTTTTTTCATGTGTTCATTTTGTTTTGCGAAAAATTTTATATCTAAACTGTGACATGTGAAAACCATACCAAAAACAGCTCGAGCACGTCCGTTTTCGCACGTCGACGTTCTGAACGATTGTTCGCCGGCCGTTGGTTCGCCTTCTGGCCGGTCACGTGACCGAGCAGCCAGAAAAGAAGCAGGAAGACTCTCCTGAGAAGCCAGTGGAGTGGAGAGGTTGTGATGGAAGAAAGGGACCAGGGAGAAAGAACACAAAAAATGTCCGGCCTCCATATGCTTGTTTCAAGCTCTGAGTATGGCATGTTATTTGTTATGGCATAAAAGGCATAGCGGCATAACTCTATGCATAACATTGTATCACTGATCCATGAGGCATGCCCACTCAACGCGAGCTCCCAGGCTTTGCATGACATGCTCATGACCATCACGATCTCCGGGCGACTGGAAGAAGAGAGGTCTATGGGGAGCAATTGCTGGACACTAGCGAAGCCATGTCAGGTGTGAAGCCTGAAGGCGCCACTCGAAGGACAGAAGGGCGCCACTCCCAAAGAAGCAAATCTGCTTGCTGAAGGCCATTGTTTCGGAGCCTTGAAAAAAAGCGGTCACCCCTTTTCCCCTTTTCCCCTATTGTTTGGTTCCGCGCGCCTCAACTTCCGTGAGTTGCATTGTGGGGTATGATGAAATTACATGACCAGCACCCCTCCTTTGGACAGGGTCACCTGGCTCTCCCAGCCACCGAATGAGTGGAGAATTCTGCAGGCAAACCTCTTGGAACACGGACCCACGAACAAGAGTCAGGCCTCACATATGCACTTCAAGAACGAAGATCAATGCCTGTCAAGCATGGCTCAAACCTCCTACATCTCCTCAACCTCTTGGCCATCTCGCTTGGATCTTAGCTTCGAAAGGTTTACCCAAAACTACCAGGATCAACCAGGAGCTTGTCATCGCAGCGCATCGCTGCGCACCCTGCTCCGGGCTCCGGGCCCATCGGACCAAGCGTCAAAGCGTCTCCAAAGATGCAGGTGTCCCGCATATAGAGCTCGTAGAGGCTAAAGAGGTCGGGATTCCTGAAGTGTGAAGAGGTCGGCATCGAATCTAAGCCGGATCTATGGCTTCCAGTGGCTTCCAGAGGAGATGGCGGTTTACATGGATTCGCATCTCAAAGACATCTTATATAGCTGTCAGTGCCATCTACTCTCAAACCACTGTAATAGCAAGGGCGCCCGCATGGTGAATACTTATGTCCACGTCATCCACAATGTGGCACCGTGTCACACCAACACATAAAAGCGCAAATCTACCTGCAATGAAGCACCGCCCCAAGCTATCCCACTATCTTATCAAGGATAAAAACCCTTGAAAGATCTATCTTCTCGATACCCTAAAGCTCCAGTCGTACCTTCGTTCCGAACCTGAGGAGGTATGACTAGAGTCCTACAAATAGGGAATTCTTGCTCAGTTTTCGATGGGAGGTGTTCATTCTACCACCCGGGCTGGTTGCACGCTTCCACCCCTTCTTAGAACAAGGGAGGTAAGACGGGCTCCTTACATGGTCTCTCTCAACCTGTCAACTCGACAGGACTCTAGAGACCAAACTTGAGTTGCAAGTGGATGGAGTATGATGGAAATGGCATGAACTGGCGAAATGTTGCGAAGTCGGTTCCCACTGTGTCGGGCGTCACTGGAAAAGAAGGAGGCTCAGCAAATGGCCGCAAGAAGTGCGTCAGCAGCAGGAGCAGCTTGTAGGAGAAGTAGATGGGTGAAACCTAATGGCACGAAACCCCGGCGAATGTCAGTGGTCGAACTGGAGATCCAGCTCCCCGAACTCGCTGGCAAACTTGCTGGTAACCGTTCCAAAAAGACTAAAACCGACCGAACGAAAGCCCAAGTCGAATAAAGCCAACCAAACATGCTCAGAGGTTTTATAGAATCCAGACATCTGGGGGGGGTTGCAGCAATCAAAAGTGCTGCAGAAGAACCCCAGAAATCACCAGGTCTACCGTGGTGGCTTCCGATCCACGAACGGAAAACTCCTTCCGTCGTGTCCCGAAATCCCCGGCCTCACGGCCTGACCGCCCGGCTCCGACCCACCCAGACATCGTGCCGAGCTCGCTTTCGTGCCGACCTCCGACATCGTTCGACGACGACATCCGGGGGTTAAGGAAAGGTATAGCTCGCAGGAAGCTTGTATAGCTCGGCAGTGCCTAGACCCTTGGAGCTATACCGTAGGAGGCCCCCGTGGAGCGAGCACCTCCCTCCCGCTCCCTTCCTCCCTTCCTCTCCGCTGAGCGGATGGAGACCCCTCGCACTGGCTAGGTGATATATGCTACAGGCTGTAAGCTATAGGTACAGAGCGACATAAGGGGCAAACACCCTCGCACCAGCTATAGGTGATTATGCTATAAGGCCTTCTATATGGATGCACATGTATATATATATATATATATGGGATATATGGGTGCTAATTACATGGTCGGGCCATCATGGGCCAACCAGCCCAGCCGAGCTACAAGGCTCGCGAGGATCAAGGCATTGGGCGTCCAAATCCACCAGAGCCCCGAAAGCCACAAGAGCGCGCAGCGCAGCGTCGGCCAGCAGAAGCTCGACCACCTGGCGAGCTGGCAGGTAGCTGGAGCAAGCTGGAGCGAGCTGTCGGCTGTGAAGCGCTGGAGCCTCCCCTTGATGAACAAGGACGAACTGAAGGAGGACCCTTCTGGACTATACCCAGGTGGGACTCTGAGAGCTGTGCTCGGAGGCTGCCCCGAATTCCCCAACGCTCATTCTACAAGGCATGGGCGGTGGACCTGGCGGTGGTGGACCTGCTTGGACAAACTTGGTTCTCTGCGCTCCTCGTAGTCCATCCCGCTGGTCACATCCCCACTCGACGGAAGAGGACCCGCCGGACCATGCGGCGGGTATAGGGGGTGGGATGGAACTCTAGAATGTACGTTAACCATAACTTGTTCTGCTCATACGGCACGTATACTATGTGTAAGTTATAAGCTTTGTTATGGTACAGTATGTCCTTTGGAGGTATTCTGGTCTACAGTATATACAAGCTCACTTCGCAAAAACTCGACTGGACATATAGTAATAAAAGAGCCAAGTTGTGTACAATTGCAAATTTACTTGTCATAGTCAGCACCTTCAGAAAATTGAAGAGGCCACATGCTTCACCCGTCTAGACTCGGCAAAAACGTGCTTCGTCTGTGAGGTGCGAAACGGCATGAACGCCGCACTCGCCGTTCTGAAGGAATGTACGGCGATCGCTGATCAGCGCGACATGCGCGAGATGCGCGAGATGCTTTGTTCAAGATAGTTCAACATCAACAATGCGCTTGCTGTCGTTTTGCACAGTTGAACCAATTTCTGTTGCTTGGTGATTGAATTTTAGTCTTTTCCCGAAAAAAAAATAACGCTTCATGTGGGTGTGCCTGGCAGTTTGAACCTTCAGCTTGCTTGTTGGTGCTCTTGGGGGGGCAAGCGTCACTGTTGGTCATTTCCCTTGCACGCTCCACCTCCAAAACAAGTGCCGCTATGATGAATGTCACTGAATGTCTTACAATTCTGCCGCCTGTCCCCAGAACTATGCCTTCCTCCAAGCAATCACCAAGAGAACGTACAATTGACAGCACCGAACTCCCAAACACCATCCGCCCAGGCACTGCTGCTTGGAAAAGTAGAGTTGAAAGCGGAGTGCCCAAACGAAGCCTGGCGAGAAATTAATTGTAGTAGGTATATATATGTGTGTGTGTGTCAGACTAGATCAAAATTGAATCCGAATAAGTGATAACTGCACTCCGACTCACTCATGTGGAATTGCACCAAGCCCCTTTATGTGGCCAATAGTCCTCGAAACATTCATGGCTTTCGCTCCAGGACTCTCCTGGAACCTCCCGGTCTCCAAGCTGCGCATGGAAGTGTTGAGAAGTGGCGAACTGCTGTGGTGTCGTCGTGTCGTGGTGGCGCCCAAAACCCTAAGCCATGTGAATGTGGGCTAGCGGCTAGCTCAGCTAGCTCCCCCAAACCAAAAAAATAAAAATTGCACCGTCCCCTTGACATCTCATGACCCCCATCCTCACCTCTCGGACCCCAAAACACCCGTTGTGGCATCGCTGGGTGCCTGGCAGCCACAGCGTCAGCAGCAGGAAGAACTGTTCAACCAGTCCCTCGTGGAGCATCGACCCCACCTGGGCGTTCGACCAGTCCCTGCTCCGGTCGCCGCGACGGTCGCCGCGACGCGGTGGACGCACCATGACGCACCACTCCACTCCACAGATCTGAGTCGTCCCGTCCAAGTCTCTCGGGATGAGGTGTGCACGTGGGATACACAGGGAGAGGCCACCTGTGCTGTCCCTGGGCAGGACAAACACGAACCAGACACCAAGCACAGCATGTCGGACTCAACGGTCAATGGCATCATATACCCAGCACTTCCAATAGGTGCCCAACGGAGACCTATAAGTAGTGCAGGGTTGTCCAGCAGCCTGCTGGTATATATACCCTGGGGGTCAAAGACTAATCAATAAAAGAATAATAGTCCTTAGGTGACCCGAATAGGAACATCCTTTACTTCAGTCAGTCAAAAAATGGTCTTTGGACTTCTATAGGGTATATATATTATATATGTATGATCTATTTTTGACTCAGCCTTCCTGGCCTTCTATACACCCCTCCACTTGGAGGGTCGTCATTGTCCCCTTCTTCTCCCGCCGCGGCGCCAACCACATTGCGCAGACCGTGCGGAGGAGATCCGATGTCCAGAGGAAAACGAAGGCCAAGCTCTCTTGAAGAAATCCTGGTGCTTGAGGCACCCAATAAAGGAACTGGATGGAACTGGTGCATGTGGGTGTGCAGGTGTAAACCTCATAATACATATTATATAGTGTGTTGTTTCTCTTTCTTGGCCCGCTCCTCTCTCCGAATACTAAATTCATATGTATGTTTCCTAGCGCCGCCAAGCAAGGAGTTTGCCGGAGCGCGGCACAACAAGCGTTCCCCTGTTTGGGCTCAAAAATTGACATAGTATGAGGTGACACGAAGCTTGGGGAAAGGCATTTGTCCTTTGCAATGTAATTACTGTGTAAGCCCGTAGGCTGATGGGGCAGCGCCCTTCTTTTCAGAGAATGATTGATTCTTGTTTTCCTCAAAATGGATATGCTCGATTCCTGGCGGCATTTTGGAGCATTCGTATGTCTTGGAGGTTTGGCTCTTGGGGCGGGCTGTGCCCGAGACAATGGAAAGTGTCTTTCACCGTTTCAGTTAGCCAGTCCGCAAGTTTGGGTTTGAAAAAATGACCTGTCGGGGAGGATCGGTTGCATCTGCTCGGAGAATGTGGCCTAGACTTATCTTCCTCTGCCTCCAAAAGTCGAGTTTTTGAACATACACTCCATGCGTGTTTGCTGTTTGCAGTACGACTGGGCTTGTTTGCGCTCTATCTATGAAAGTGGTATGTTGAGAATTCTTCTCAGTCCCTTCATCTGAAAAGCATCTAGTTTGTTTAGCTCATTTTGAGTGAGTTGGATCACTTCCAGGCTGTACATAAGTTTTGATTGTATGATTGGTATTCGCCTTGTCCCAGAAGATCTTGGGTTGTCTGAAAGTTTTCATGGTCATGGCAATTATGTCGTGTATTTCTGCTGTGTTACTCACCGTATCTGTCAATAACGATCCTAGGTATACTGCACGACTGTCTCGTGGGACCTTAGTTCCATCTAGATATTTAATTGTTGACGTCTTTCTGTTCGTTGTCATGTTAATACACTTTCCATAGTTGAGTTTCATGTTGTAGTAGGAGGAGTCCACTTCTTTCTTTGAGCAGTCTATTTATTGAAGGCGTGTGGTCGCCAAAAATCAGAGTGTCGTCAGCGGTCAGCGTATTTTTGCAAAAGTGATTCCTTCAGTTTGGGTTCTTTCTCTTTGGGCGTGGACAGCCGGACGCCAAATTCAATATGTATATATACTTTTTGTCCGCTCCCCCTCTCCCTACTTGATTAAGGAACGGCGCCTACTTAAAGGCCAGGAACTGAGGTAAGCTACTAGGTACAGGACGCTCCTAGGTCGGACGCTCGATAGCTCACGATATTGGTTCCTTGATACATCAATGTGCCAGTCTCAGTTCCATGTCGTGATTCGACCACCCGGGGGGCCCATCTTGGGCACCACATCTGTTTGTGAGATGACAGCTCAAGCCATGGCCAGCCACAAGAATAGACACACCAGAAAATAAGACATACTCCTTTCTCCTTGCTGAACTACCTGCCACAATTCAGGCTGTGTTTCCACTGCCCCTCCCCCAGAAAGGACTATTCCACCTGTGTCCGGCTTTTTCCAAACGCCCCCTGCGAATCGCTCCACCCGGTCCTGCCACATCCATGCAGTGGCACACTTCATTCTGGCGCACTCCACCACCCAAATACGCGTGGAATTCGCCCGTGGCCCAGTAGTCCAACGTCAGCACGCCTCGTCAGTGGTAGACCCCCGCGATCCGTCAGTCTAGTCAATCCTTCGAGTCGGTGCGTCGACGAGTCTTGGCAAAGCCTCCTTTCCTGTTGCACTTCCAACGGGCCAATGGAGACCTGTAACTAGGCGATTGTGAAGGTGCATGATGACTGAGTAGTGTGGCGCGTTCTGGCGAACGTAGGGGCAGGAGTATTTACAACAAAGTTTCAAAGAACTAACTGTTGATTTGATTTTCTTGGTTCATAAAGGAATGCAATTCGTTGTCATTGCAGTTGTTCTGCCAAGAATAAATCGAGATAGATCTAACTGGATGCTCCACTTAGTGTTTCCTGGCATTGTGCGGAGCAATTCACTCCAGAATTACTTCCACCTTGGTCCAAACCTTTCTATCTTGCTAATCTCTCAAAGGAATATATATATATATATATCAAACAGCAAGTTGTGTGGACGAACATCCACAAACACACGGTAAAAGACTAAACAATCTAATTCCAAATTCCAAACTTGTTTTTCCTCCGCCTGTTCCATAGAATGGTCTCAATCAAGGGACACAGAGATACAGTAGATTAAATCAAGCACCAAATTGGTCCACCCCAAGTGGTCTTCGAAACCTGGCACCCTGGAACTGCCCAAAAGCACCAGAGTCACTTCACTCGCTCCCAGCGGACCAAAGCGAGTGAAGCCGCGAACCCGCCCGTCGCGCCCGGTTCACCCGTCTCCGACGTCGGTCGGGTCGTTCGGTCTCCGACGTCGAAGGACTCCGACGCCGAACCGCCCCAAGTCGCCGTAGTACATCTTCAGCGAGCGGAACCTTGGGTTCTGAGGGAAGCCCATCCGATCGACGCCCCGGACGAGCATCTGGATCGATCAGTTGGACCATGGGAACTCATGGGAAACCAATGGGAAACCCCGCCCACACGGGCGGTGGGAAAAACCACCGAAAAGGGATAGACAGGTGGCGGCGATGTGGGCAGTAGACTTTGGGGTATATCCCAGGGCCCAGTGGATGATGATGGGGCCTGGGCAAGCAGGCCGGTCTACCGATGGCTCTACTGGTAATGGGACAGACCCAAGATATCGCGATCTAGTATACCAAAGGGGTCCATCTATAGTCCATGTATTCTTATATTCTATATGGTGTATGCCACTCAACTAGCATAAATAGCCATCCTGCGCAGTCCCCAAACTTCGAAAGAAGAACGAATCTTGAAACCGCCCGTCGGACTGGCGCAAAGGCTTCACCCAAACCCTTGGGACTTGGAGCTGATGTATGTGGATGCCTCGGTGCCAACCGGTAACCAGCACGCCCTTTGGTCGGCAAGCCGTCGGCACCGTACGGATGCACGGTGAAGGTGATGCCCATTGGACCACTGGAGGGGGTGTAAATCATGAGCATCTCATCTCCAGAAATATACCAGAGCCCCCCGGTTTGGGGTGGGTAATGGACACCCATGAAACTCTGAGGAGCCACATTCTTGGACACCCCTGAAAAGGGGGGCCAGGGTATATGACCATTCAAATTGTATACTTTTAGTTTCAGGGCGTACATTCGATCCATTATACAAAGAGTGTCTGGGGTGTTCAGACACACTCAGCACACGCACCATAGGCGACCATAGGACCTGTGACCGCCGCGAACGCCTGCAACACGTGCATGATGTTTTAAGAAATTTTAAGACCTTCCCAGGGCTGCCATTGACTCAACTCAAAAGGTCACTGACTCTGACTCAGAGAAAAAAGATGCTGACATGTCCTGTCACTGGCCCAAATCCGAACAACAGTTCAATGGAAAAATTGTCCAAAGAATCTCAAAGGAATGTGGCTCTAGAACCCAAAAAATCTATGGGAAAATAACTCAACCTTCTGCCAAAATTTAAACTCTAGCAGCAAAAAAACCCACGTTGAAATCTCTCAAACTTGTTGCCTTGTCCAACCCCGAGCGAGCAAGCTTCGCATCCGGACGTAGCGACGAGTGCGACGATCCGACTGATCCCAAAGTGCCAAACAATACGACTGATGCACCGGACCTCTGAAATCATATTCATACATATACTGCGCAATTTTAAATGTACGTATGTACTGTAAATGTATTAAATGTGTATATATAATCTATGTCTGTATATGTGTGTGTGGTCATCTTGCTGGTGGAACTCTCTCATTCCCATTCCTGCCCAATCTCTTTGCTTTATTCAGGGCGCCCAGTGTCCAGGCCGCCGTAGAAACCCTCATCCAGCTCCAGCACCAGGTCACATCCAGGCCCGCTGTCATCCACGGGTGCAGTGTTCAGCACCATTTCTTCCATGTCGGCACTGGAACTGTGAACTTTGCCAAAGATCCGCGGCGAACTCCTTAGCCGACGAGGCCGTTGAACATGACTGTGGGTCATGGCACCCGGAGCCCGAGCCTAACTCACCAGCCGGGTTGACCTCCTGGTGGGTCCTCTACTCTGTGCATGTTCTGTAGTCCAATAAAGGGTCCTCCGACGCCATGACCCACAGCCAGATCAGCGGAGATGCTCGGAGCCTCTTGCGGCACGCCGGAAGGGGGTCCGGACCCGCGGCAGAACGAGAACATGCTGGGCCTTGGTCCATGTGTTCCATGGCCCATGTGGTCATGCTCCATTCCGGAATCATCCATCATGCGTGTCTGGATGCAATGTCCAAGTGTTGTACTACCGTAATGGCTCGCGATCGCCCTCTCTAAAAATGACGGACCCGTCGCTTTTGGATCGCATCGTTCCTCCCTGCATCCCTCCATCTGTCGTGTCTCTTCATGCTGGTTTCGAACAAAGACTTTCTCCCTCAGCCTATCCCAAGCGTCAGGGTGACCCGGTGGTGCAACTTCACCTCCTCCGCCAGGCTCTCCAAGAGCCTGGAAGTCACTAATGTGGCTCAATCAGCGAGGGAGAAGGACAACACGAAAACTCCATTTAAAAAAACAATCCGTGCCGTGCTTGGTTCATTTCTCGGATCACCTTGATGAAAGACATTAAAAGACCTCCCCTTTTTTGTAAAAAAGGATCCGAAAAGCGGAAGACCTCCCGCGACTGGACGAGCCTTGCAGGTCTGATCCGCACGGCCACCGTTCTCTGCCAGTGCCGCACCTCGCAAGGGCGTGCGGAGAAGCCGTTGCTCGGTGCGCTGACCGCGCTCCGGCGGGTGGACGTGGATGTGGGAGGAGGCGCTAGGCAGCGGATGTGAGAATCGCCAAGTATCAGCTATAGTTAAGCTTGGAGCCAGGTTCACTCAATTAGAGCGCAAGTTCTCCTTGTGTGACCTCTTCGCCTTTCGCTCTGGGTCCCGCGGGTCGGCGCCCACCTCCAGGACCTCCGGGTTGCTCAAGGTCAAATCCCGCTCCAAGTCCAGTGAGGGCCCAGGCACAACGACCACCTGCGCGAGCTGGGTGTGGTGAAAAACCACACCCTCCCGCGCTTTTTTTTTGTTTTGAAAACGGAGGAGCGAGGAACTGTGCACGGGAGTTCCAGTCGCATCAGGAGTTTCAAAAGGGGTGTCTTGACTCGCACTGCATGCACTTGATGGACGCTGGCCAGCGGCACTGCCACCGGCTAGTAGCAGTCCAAGGCCCAAGGCAATCACCACTACCATCTCATGTTGTCGGGGGCGGTGGTCAGAAATTGGTAGGGCACGAGTGCCTGGTGTCAAAACTCAATCTCTTGCTGAGATGTTTTCCCGTGTCAATTTGGATGCCCAGAACCCTTTACCAAAAGCCCAGCCTTAGTTGCTTCCAAAGCAGCTTTGGCTGTTTAAGGTTGGAGATGTGATAATAAATTCTCCTCCTGTGTCAGATTCCTTATGGTTCCTTCCTCAAGGATTGGGACAAAAACACTAACCGGAACAAGAGACTTGAGTGTTGAAAAGCTCAATGATCGACCAGATGTGGACTTATATATATATATGTATATATAATATATATATCTATATTCTTTGCATGTATGTATGCATGTATGTACGTGTGTGTATGTACATTTGCATACACATAATTATACCATATGCACACTTCTTTGAGCATGAGAGTCTCACCTGAACCCCCAAAACTGATTGACTGACAGAAGTGTCCTTTAGCAGGCCGCCAATTTTTGGTCCAAAGATGTTTCGGAGCAGCTACTGCTGGCCAATGCCTCCCGCCATAGGCTCTTAGATGAACGTCCCGGATGAAGAGGTTTTGCACACCATTGGGGAAGGTTAATGATCAAGAGACTACGTTGGGGTGGTGGGTGGTGCGTTCATGATTGAAAAAGGGTTCCCCAAGGGCTCATCTTCCACCGTCCAATCACCGATCTGGGCTCATCAAAATCAGCGCCCACCGTCAAGTAATCCATGCTCAGCCGCTCAGCCGAAAAGACAGGGATCACCAAAACGTTGGATCCAAGGAGGATGCCCTTTCAGGAGGGCCAGCCTAAGGTGGCCGCATGTTCTTCTTCTCTTCTCCCGCCTCCTCGGAAAACCTCCATCAAGATCCGTGGAGTGTCCCTGCCTGCAGTTCCAAGTCTGAGCCTGAAGTCCAAATGGACTTCAGCGCATGGTGTGGCTGAAGGCGCCTGCGGCCATCCAACAACTGCAGCCGGCATGGCTTCAGGTCCATCCTGGATGAAGTGAGATGAGGAAGAGCGGATGGTGAGGATGGGTGGTGGAGCTGGATGAAGGGCGGCGGTCAGCTTCACAAGTGGTCTTTCGTTGTGCTTTACTGGGGCTCCAGGGGTGGTGGGTTTTCTGTCTTCATCCTCCATGTCCGAATGGAGGCAACACAGGAGTGTGCAGTAGTAGTCCATTGTGGTTCGCAGACTTGGCATGCTTGGGGGACCGGGTCACGGCAGCCTTCAAGAAGCAGGCCCACGCTGCACAAAATGTCAACAAAAGTCATCCAACATCGCTTCTGAAAAGAAGGGAATTGGAATTGGCCCCCTGAACAAAAAAAACGACCATTGACAGAGTTTTCCCCTAACAAAGAAGGACACAAGCAAAACAAATTATGTAACTGTACCACGTGCCAACCAAAGGCTGCTTACCAGTCCTTCCCAAGACTTTCCGTGCAACTGACTTCTAAAATTCAGGAGGCATCTGTCGTGCGCATGGCACTCCTTTAAAGGTTTCTACCCCACAACTTCGCCTCAACCCATCCGTCAGAACGCCCGAGCATCTTCTGGCAAAGCATGTGAATGACCTCGGCGATTTGGCTGGAGGGCCGCATCTCCTGGACAAAATCGGTGACGATGAGAAGGGGAAAAAAAAGACAACGTTATATAAAGATATCAAATCCGTGCCAAACGACAAAAGGTTTGGCCGGGAATCACCAACCTCCGGCTTTCCTGCGGCTCTTCTCGCAGGAAAGCCGGGAGAAAAAACCTTCCAGACCGTGTGAGCGGTGTAAAGCACAAGACTGTTCTTCGCCCTCGGAGGGGTCGATTTCGCGCCAGAAAAACCTGCCCTCCCTGGCGCGTTCAGGGCTGGACATGTTCAGGGCGCGTACGTGGCAGCATGGCGTGAAAGAAGCGACGAACGTAGACAGTTTTGATTCTACACCGTTTTCAGATTTATGGTGCGACCGCTTCGGGTTCATGGTGCTGAGGTGCATCCTGGGTTTACACGCTTGTCCGAAAGAGGAAAAAAGGAGCGAAAGCAGCTTGTGCACCATCTGCTCTGCACACTGTTTTGCATCTGCAGCCAAGTTCGGTTGCAGCACAGAACCGCCATCAACCGCCCCACACCCTGGAAGTCCAAAGACATCCAAAGACTACTATATTTTAACTGATTGAAGTAAAAGGAAATTCCCTTTGACTCCAAGGCCATATGAAGGGGTTTTACCATCTCAATGGGGATGAACCGATCAATCAATCAAGAATCTACATTTATATAGCAGTATTTGTGCTAGTTACCCACCGCCATCGCTTTGATCCGCCAGTTCGAGCACCCGGCGGATTCGTCGCGGCTTACCCCTCACCCACTGCAGTACTGTCCATGGCGAGGTAACCGGGAGATGAGATCCCCAGCCAATGGCTTTTGGTATTTATTTTGGTCTATTCATCTTCTTCCACGCGGGTCAATCTGGGAGGTCCCCCTATTTAAATACACATCCTTTGTGTTAATTGATTGATGACCCTTCTTGGTGCTGGCAGCAGCAACTGCATACTAGATTTGGCTAGATCGGCAACCAAACTGATTCGTACAACCACGGTGAAACAACCTCCAGTCGGACCCTCACTCGGGACGTATAGGGCCATCCTGCACACAGCTTTAAACTTGACCTTGCGGCCATGGTACAAAAATATATACAAATATTCATGATTACTCATGGATTTAAATATACTTAAATGGTGGAAGCCAGAGGAAGCCCGTCTTCTTTGGCTTTGGGGAGTCGTCTGCCAACATGCTCTGCGGGCACTCCGGAGAAAAACACATAAAAAGCCCGTGCACGTCCTGGTAAGTCTTCTCCTGGGAGCTCAGGGGTGCTCCCTGGTGGAAGGGGTGCTTGCTCAGGTTTGGTTCTTAGAGCCTTCAGAGTTGCTGAAGGCTCAAGGAGTTGCAAAAGCCAATGACTCTCCAACAGAATTGACTTCGCAAGCACTCCTTTTGCGATTGCTTTCGCTAACACTGCAACATGTGAGCAACCTAAGTGTCAACCAAAATTGGCAGCGGCCAAGCGAGAAGGACATGTTTTATCACCATTGAAGTCTAGAGTCGAGCCTCTCTATATCTCATACCTCGGGGCACTTCGTTCTTCCAACCTCCTTTGGGCTCCTCCACTTCCACCCCGCGCTGGGCTCCTCCGCAAACCCGCGCGGGTTTCACGTGGGTTTCACGTGGGCTTCATCTGCGCGACCGTACCGACCCGCTCAATGCCCGCCCAGGGGCCAGGACGCAGTCGCCGGCCAAGGTGAAGACGCGCAAGACGCGCGGCGCGGGTGAACCGACGCTCGTGCCCGAAGCGCCCAGGGTGGCACCGATCCGCTCGGGCTCGTGACCTGGCGGTCTCTCAGCTCTCTCTCTCTCTCTCTCTTGTCGGCATCAGCATGACTGTCATGACTCGTGCCGTCTCACATCAACTTCCCCGACCAAGGCCCTAAAGTTCCCTAAAGGTGTCCAGCACAAGTCTGGCGGTGGGAATTCTGGGAACACACTTCGGGAGGCTCTTCTCACAGGCCATATTTCATCAGACCTCCAGTTTTGTGGCACAAATCTCTTGACCCGTTTCCTTTTGAACGCCAGGCCACCACGAAGTCCAGCTGATTGGCCCCCAGAATTGGTGGTCAACATCCCGTCAAGTCAGGGCGGCCGCGAGCCGGGCTTCTCTCAATCTAAGCAAATTCATGCCCAAAATCCCGATCAACTGGGGAACAGCGTTCCGAATTGGGGAACCTTTCGTTGCCTTCGGGGACCGTAGTACACCTGTGTCACTTTCGTGACTTTCGTGTCACGAAAGAAATCGTGCCATTCAGCAGCGCCATCAATGCAGTCAGGCGACAGCTCGGGGGAAGAGGCGCGCGATGTCCCAACAGCATGGCGAGTCGCGACTCGCTGCGCGGCACGATCGCTGCAGCTTAGACGGACCCTTGAGTCGTCCCCGGATAAAGGTTAAAGGCTATCCACCGACTGGGTGCGTATAGGAGTAGGACACCACTCCCGCACTATGATCATGATGCTGTCACGCTGTGCTTCGAGAAAACCAACATTAGCTTCATGGAAGAAGTGGTGCGAACCTGAAAAGACACAATACATCACAATACTAACATGATCTCACCAAATGGCACCAGGACCTTCAAAGTGACCTAACTTGAGATCCCAGTTTGAGGCCATTTGATCACCCATCATCCTTCATCTCTTTCACCAGCCGGACCGGCCACATACCTAGATCTTCCTCAAACGGAAATGTCTGTCCGAGTTTGATTCGGACAGATTTCATGAGGTGTTCGTCCGAGCTCTGAAGATTCGCCCGTGCTCTGAAAATCCGCCCAATGGCAGCATGGAGGAATTTCTACCATCCTGACTGAGTTCACCATGTTCGCAAAACTCGTCCGAAGTGTGGGGGTTTTCGTCCGAATTGTGGATAGTTTCGTCCGAATTGAATTTCCTGTTTTTAATTTTGCATGCAAAGTACAAATAAAACTACAAAAGTGCAACTTCGTCCGAGTTCCAAAGATTCGTCCGAATTCCAAAGATTCGCCCGCACTAGGTGTCAACAAGTCAGACTGAAATATCAGTACGAATGAAGACGTAGGTATGGCCACATCCCTTTCCCTTCAGCTTAGCGCACTTTCCTCGGCTTTTTCCTCACAGGCCCTGCTCGGCGACCTCCTTCAGCCGCTCGGGTACCTCGTCCATCGGCGTCTCGGCCACCGCCTGGAGACGACCCAGGAATCGGGCGCCTCGCTGCAAGCTCCGCCTGCAGGTCCCCCGGCGTCCATCGACGGCGGCGGTGTGGGGAGGAGGGACTTGACGAGGGCACCCGATGCCACGGAGGAACAACCGCGGACCGAGAACAGGGTGGTTGACAGGCGTGTAAGCTTTTCAAGCTCAAATATCAGCTACCGAAACGTGTGTTGTAAAGGCTCTTGAAAGTAGCAGCGGGCCTTGAAACACTGAAACATCCTAAAACCACCGCCAAGGCCCCTTGATGCGCGTTGGTTGCTTTTGTTCTCCTTCCTCAGCCTGTGATCAAAGTGGTGCAAGTCTTGGTCGACCTCTCGTACACCATGTTTCGGGACCCCCCATGGTTCTTCAGCCGTTCTCCGGACCCCCCATCCATCATTCTTGCAGTGTCACCGCTGTCTGACCGAACCAGCTGGACTGGACCGTCGGCCCGAGGACGAGCGGGCGAGGGCCACGACCGGGCCGTTCGGGTTGCTGCCCACGTCGACCGATGGAACAGCCAGGCTGCCTGGAAGGGCCATGCCCAGGCCCTCCCAGACGCCCTTTTGTTCCAAAAACACCTCCCTGAGGCATCCTGATGCGCCCATGGAGCTCCCCATGTCTCCCCATGTCTGTGCCTCCTCGGGCTTTCCTGCACCCTCCCCACCGCTCCAAAACCACGTCGTCCGTGCTCCCCGAGGGACTGGAGCTTCTTGAGCGTCGTCCGGAGCTTCTCCAACTTCCCTCGCAGCTGGGCGCCCCGCTGTTGGCTCGTCGAGAGCCTGGGACGGGAGCGGAGCAGAGTGGGCGAACAACGCAAACAAAGGATTGAAGAGACGGCTTGGGTGTGTTCTTCCCCATGTCGTTCACGAGACGCATGCCGATGTCATCCATGCAAGACATGTACCGAAATGGCGACTTCAGAAATCCTGCCAGAGGCGCAGGAATGTGACAATGGATCCTGAGGCCCCAGGTGGGGAGGCTTCCTCCATTCTAAACACCCAGAAGGCAGAAAACTCACCAAGTGACTCCTTCTGAAGTACAGATTGTTGTTGTAGAAGAGCTGCATGGCGCTCCTGGCCAGCCTTCATGCTTTTCTGGAACCTTGGCACCAAGGGCCGGACTTGTGGGATATACGGTCAATGGACGGTCGTATTGCTGGAAAGCAAGGTCGATGGATTAGAATCCGGTTGGACCCCTGGTGGTGGTTCTTATCCAACGGGTTCAGCCGGGAGTCTTGATAGAGTTGTAGAGGAAAATCATGGAAATGGAAACAATGGCTGATTCCCTGCATTCGGTGATGCCCAAAGATGTGGCCACCCGGACCCTCTGGCCACCCTGAGGCTTCAGACTCGGCACCAAGTTCAGAACGGGTGGTGAAACTGAAGGTACGCCCTGTTTCACCGTGTTTCACCCTCACCGCACCGTGGTCCAACCAAACAGCCGGGGACCCCCGGATTGCCGTGGAGACGCTTCACCGATACGAACCCAGAAACCATCCATGGTTCCGTGGAGGGGGACATGGCCTGCAATTCGGACCCCGGACTCCTCTAAACCCAATTGGTGGTTGTCCCTCCACTTCCATCCGTTTTTCAACGTGCCAAGGCTCATCTGCTTCAAATAACGCTTGCTGCTGCTCTCCACCCGGTGTAGCTGCCGCCTCCGGTCGGACGGGGCAAAGGCCGGCCCCCGGCGGCGCTCGAACTCAGTGCCTCGTGGATGGTGCAAATCCTTTTGTGGCACCAGAACACATCCAATCAGCCATGAACTATACTGAGGGATGGTTCATGGACACACATGAACCTCTACCAGCACCCTCCAACAGGTCACCAATTGAGACCTCTTAGCGCCTTACAACCCTCCAAAGGAGACCTGTTGGAGGGTGCTGGTAAGGGGCTCATTGTTAGACAATGTTAGACATGATTTGGGGCCTGGTATGAAAATGATTGAAAATGTATCTAGGATATTCTAGAATCCTGAACTCACTCGACTTGGACATAGATCCGACCTGGTAGGACCCAGGTCGGAAGCCACCCACTCCGGTCGGGGCTGCGGCTGGGCGTCCCCACAGGTCATCCTTCAGGAAGGTCAAGATGATCCTCAGACCGGCACCGAACCGCCATGGAACCGAAGAAGACCATGTGACCGTTCCATGGTTGAGGTGGTGTTGTAGTGTAGAACCCTAGTACAACAATGGGTTGTTCGGGATTCAGGCGATGTGAGAGGGCATGCTTCGACTTCTAGGGCATGTGGCAGCGATGTGTGCCATGGCTGCCGTTGACCACGTGCCATGAGATGACATGGAGACATGATGAGACATGGAGGGGTTTCTCAAAAGAGCTCCACACATGCGCCTGGCGCCCATGCCTTGGTGGTGTGGTGTGCTTCTGCCCTTCGCAATGCTGGCTGGAGCTTCAAGGACGACTTAGACACATCCTCCGAGGGAGGAAGCAGCTCATGACCAAACACCCCATGCAGTGGGTCCAACAATTTACTAAAACCATGGCTGGTCTGGGTGTTTCTCCCGGTGAGCGCAGGAAATTACCACCAGCACCCCTTCAAAATCCCTTGTTGAAACCGAGCCGAATCCCAACTGCAATGCCAAGCGTCTGATCCTCATGCGCTTCGTGTTCCACCACCGGATCCTCGGCCTCGAGCACCTCGGTCACATCCGCTTCATTCACCTCGCGCGGCGCCACTGGATCCTCGTCCAACATGGCATCCACCTTCGGATGCGCACCTGCCATCTCCGCGCGCGCCCGCGCGCGCGTGGATGTAGGCGCAGATGTGGGCGCATGGGAGCCCATACTCTTGGGGAGGCCGCATGGGAGGCCATACACTGGGACGCAGGGCCTGGGCTTTTGGAGTTGCTGGAGTGGCCACAAACCAAGATTGCTGAAGGGGGCATATAGTAATTCGCGGGATGTTGGCAATGCCCTCCTCTACCGGCTCTGCCCGACCTTTCAAGCAGGAATTCTAGTGGTTGAACCCAAGTGCAGTACCTTAATAATTACCAATGATCATGATCGGAAGATTCATCCGACAGTTGGCCAAAAAGATTTAGCTCCCCTCAAAGGGTCTCAAAGAACCTCTCATTTACCACGGGATGCTTCTGCTTTGCGACCCCTCTTCCATTTCTTCACCTCGTACCCCCTCCCACCAACCCCACGCTTCACACGACCTACCCGCCCCACGATCCGCCCCACCTCGCAGTTCTGCCGACACCTCCAGGAAGGACATCGCATCACGTTCGTCCTCCAGCGTGGCCTCGCACGGTTGGTGCGTCACCGTCGCGGTGCGCGGAATTGGCTTCGGAACACGGCGGACGGGGTGGTTTTTCGGTGGTGTTAGTGTGCCACTCGCAGCCTCCGCATCCAGAAAAGGAAGCGGTTGGAGGAACCAGGTCCTTCTGGTGCACTGAACCCCCAAAAAAAAAGACCTATAGCTGCTAGCAATTAGTATACATTGAATACATGCGCCGTGTATACTGCTGTGTATGAAATACCAATCCAACTCAATCTTCCAGAGAGAAGCTCGGAGTTCGGGGAGGATCTTCCTTTTGCAACTTAGCCACCTCCTCCGGGTCCTGCAGGAAGCGTTGTCCCTGGTGCATTTGCTGCTGCAAGGATTTGGAAATGCTCTGGCGTACACTGACTCGATGGGCCAAACGTGTCACCTGAACCCGTCGCGGGACGAAAAACCGAGGACCGGTCCTGACTTTGAAGGGCCAAGCTAAACAAAGCCCAGATCCGTTTCACGGAGTGTTTTCCCCCAGTCCCACGGTATGGTCTGAACAGTTCGCACCCACCCCGGTCGAGTACGGAGTTGTGGATCGAAGAACCGGAGCGGAAACGCGGTGTGGAAACCGGCGTGGAAAACGCCAGGAGTACTCCCACAGCCCGAGAGGTGCGCTCTGGAAAGACACTGAAAGATTCCGTTTTCCTCATGTCTCCTCTACATCCTCTATACACATGAGCGTTTTTTTTAATGCGGTGTTCAAAGGATATCAAGGGTTTTCAGGGTCCATGTTAGTCTTCAGTGGGGCAGTTGACGGCCAGGAGCTGCACGGGGGCATCTGCACGGAATGTCACATCCCATTCGCTTGGTGGCACTTTGTGGCACTTCGATCTGGGCCAGTCGGGGCCCACCATTCCCAAAACGCTCAGCTCCTCTCGTCGGCTCTTCCAGTCTGCTCTCTCGCCATCGCCGGGGCAGGATTTTAACCACGGAACAGCAAAGTTTCGATTCATCAACCAAGAGAGTCTCGATTCATCTCGATTCCATAATGAGAAGTCTAGAGAGGTGTCTAGAGTCTAGAGATGTCTACCAGGAGTCACATGGAGTTGGGTGGTTTTTAGTCCAATCCAGTGAGTAGATGTTCTGGGATGTTCTGGGCACCCGTATCCTCCAAGCTTGGCACCCCTATCCTCCATGAATGTGACTCCTGGTCAGAGTCTACATGAATGACGGAAGTCTACGACCACAGCCACGCCTCCTTGCGGAGCTGAACATTCTGCTGTCGAGCCGTCAGAGTCTCCTTGGCCAACTGCGCGTTGCCACGCAGCAGCGCCTCGACACGTCGTGCCACGGCTTTTTTCGTGCCACGGCGGGCAAAGCGCCACGGGTGGCGGTTGCAGGGCGCAAGACGGGTGGGGGTTGGATTTGTTAAATTCTGTCGTGATGGTCAACACCCTGGATTGAGGATTACAACCAATTTCAACTCATTAAGACATCTGTTTAATATCGTTTATGTTACAGTAATTGCGTTTCCATGCTTTTCCTGCTGATTGAGCTTGGGCATGCTCGGCTTTAAATATCGCAATCTGACCACCCCGGCCCCGCTCCGCGAAACCACTTCGCCTTGTTCTGCTCCTCTTGGCTTCGCAATTGGGCATCGAAGTCTTCCTTTTCCTTCGTGAGCTCCTTCAAACTCTCCTGCTCCACCTGCGAGCAGCAACAAAAAACACAAAGCACGCAGTTCCTGTTCCACTGCCCCATACACTCCATGGGACTGGTATATTTGCCTACATTTGAGGTGGTTTGGGGGGCTCAATTGATCGGCAGTCCTATGGGGGTCCCATTTGCCGCGTCTGGGACCACCGGAGCTGTTCGGACCTTCGATCGAGCGTGTCGGGGTCGTTCGATCGGTCCGAAGCTTCGCTCGGATCGTGAGTCGTGGACGAACTGGGCACGCATTGTGGGCCGTTGGATCTAACCAGACCGCCCAGACAGACCGCCCTGCAGGTTGGAAGTCTAAGTGGACCAAGTGTCCAAATCTCGGTACGTCGGCTGGGTTGAAATCTCGACCATTCCATCAAAACCGGACGTCATTGATGTGCTTTCACGAACCGGTGCTTGGCGGGGGGGTCTCGGTGTGGTGTCTTGGGGGGTCTCGGACGCAGCAGCTCTCACCAGGAGCATCCACCGCCAATAAAAAAGGATTTTAAAAAGTGACAAAGACTCTGCATCTGGACAAGAGGTATTGCATCGAGTGTAATACCTCGGTATCGCTGGCAAGTGAACAAGCAGCTTCTTCGATATCACAACATACGCCCCATGGAAGAACACCGGGGGGGCTCTTGTGAAGAAGCCAGTGATTCCATTTGATATCTCCACCTCGTGGAGATGCAGACGGAACCTGAAAAAATTCTTCGTTGTAGCCAACAGCTGTCCTCAAATTCACTTGCTTCCGGAGCTGGAGAACCTCCGAAGTAGCTACCCGCGAAACTGCGAAACTGTCCGGATCAATTACCCCAGCCAGCTCCGGATCGCTCCGAAGCAGCTCCGGATCGCACCAGGGTGGCGGTGCCGGGGGTGGCGTGAAGACGAACGGAAGGAAGGATAGGGGTGCCCCAAAAGAATCTCCCACTCAGACTCACTGGCTCGGACTCAAAACTTCGAGACTGGAATGACTGGAATGACTACTAAGTCAACTTTGGATGGCCAAACGTTGCCACTAGGCGCGACCCAAAAAAGAAACGTGAAAGCATGGTTTCAGAGTAGATGGCACAATCTCCAAAAGTTGGTTGCATTTATAATCCTCAACTGGATCCTCATATACCAGGACCTTCCAAGAGGTGTCGATAAAATAGCCTCTTGGGTGGTGATTCGAAATGTCCAGGTCCCCACCAGGCGAACGGAAGGTGCTGGTTCCACCACGACGTCTTTGGCCCATCTTCCAGGGCCTCATTCAGATGCTCCACGAAGGAGCCCGTCGCAGATCCTTCACTCTGCCTGGCATCTCCGCCGCCGTTGGCAAGGCCAAAGCGGAGCCAGATGTGGGCAGGGCTGGCAGGGCTGATGTAGAGACCCTAGCCTTCCAAGACGACTTTTCAAAATGGCTGAGCATGGCTGAGCTGTAGTGTAACATCAATAGTTAAAGAATGGTGGCTTGGTACAGACCATTGACTCAATGGTGCTTGGAACCCTAGGGGGATGGGCTCCTGTCCTGGTCGGGCGCCCTACCGTTGCGGATGGTTCCAGAGTCGGGTCCGAGACCTCGGCCAAAGCAGATGTTCAGTTTCATTCACCTCATCTGTTCATGTGCTAAACCAATTGATCTTTATATCTAAATAGACAGGTATAATATTATCTATATATCATGTATGTGTCTACAAGATAAATACATGAAGTCAATATAGTTAATATAAGCACCCTCCATCTTAAAGGCACATTTAAAATAAGCGGAGACCTGGTCTTCTCGGAGTGGTCTTCTTGTTGCCTTTGCACACCGCCACCGGCGCCGGAACCGCCTGTGCGTGGCATGCAAGGTGCGCTTCGCCCGCTTGAAGTCCTCAGGGCGGTCGGCCGTTGGAAGAAATTCCGCCCAGTGGGAATAGTGGGAGGGAGATTGGAGCTCTATCTAGGATGTTCCAGGCCCTTAAAGGTCTTTGGGGAGAACTTGGGATGGTGGGAGGAGGGCGACATCCTATCCAGCACATGCAGCATCATTGCAGTTTTTAAAAGCCACCGTCGTAGAGATGGGTTGCAGGATGCGAGCTGAGATGGCATCTGTGATTAAAAAAGGGGGTCTTCTCCACTCTCTAAATGCCTCCAGTCTGACATTTCAGGATTCGGTCAAGCCTCTTCAGCTTCTTTTGCGGTCACCTGGGACCACAATGATAATCATAAAGATAATTTGGATGCGCAAAAGATTGCACAGCCCTTAAAGTGCATGGTAGTCCGAAAGTGGTTATGCTCAGTGGCATGGGCGGACATAAATTCACAGGATGAATCACATCCTACCTGTAGTGGATTGGGAGTAAATGGCACAATACCCCAAAGGTGGTTTATATATATATATATATATGTAGACCTCCGATTAAAACACATCTTGGGGTGCCAGTGCCCATCTACTCTGGAAACACTGTATGTTGCTTTTTGAATGCCCATGGAAAGGCGGGCGCCCGAAGGATCTTTGCTGCAAAAATTGTACGGATTTACCCTGGAGTCTTGGACTTGCACAAGGGAAATGTCAGCACAAAAAGACTTATATGTAGTAAGACCTTCCGAGGCTTTCTCACCAATAAGGGGCTCCCACGCTGCCCTAGAAGACCTTAAAGCAATGCTTCAACGAAAAAGGTGCAGGATCCCTGATGCTCAAAAGCATGCGGACATCACGTCCATCCATCTATCTCCACGTCCATCTGCACATCTCTTCACCCAATTCTCGGAACTGCCGGAGCGGAGCGGGACATCGGCAGGAAACCCATTCGCCGAGGCTCGTCCAGTAACTGATCCGGCAACTGGGGCATCCCATCGGGCCCCGCATTCAGCACCTCTGGCACCCGCGGGAGCCGCCAGTCCTCAGCATCCATCGCAGTCCGCTGCAGTCGGTCGACGCCGGTTTGCTCCGCCGAAGGGGCGGCATCCCCAAATCCGTTCGTGTTCATGAATGAACTGCCCATCAGGAGTCGGACGTATCCAGTGAGTTGGGTGGTTTTGAGTCCCAGTGAGTTGGGGCCGTGGATTTTGGGGGGGCACGCCGATCCTTCCTCCGTTCGTCTTCACGCCACCCCGTTCGCGACATGTGACTCCTGTGACTCCTGGCATGGATCTCTTATTGTTGGAAAGGGTGAATTAGCGTGAGACATCACGCGACACACGCAGGCATCGCACGGTCTTCTGAAGCTCCGCCGTGGAAGCGACGGAGGAGTAGATGGCACACTCCAAGTTTGCTGGTTATCCACCCCATCTAAAAGACATCTAGGCTGTCTAGGCTCTATAACTGGCTCTATAGTGCTTTTTGGCCATCTACTTCTTGACACCACTTGTAAAAAATCCAACACCGATTCCGTCCAACTCCCTGGCTGCTGAAGTCTCGACAGAAGGGCATCTGGCCACACCTGCTTCGGGGAGCAACTCCGTCCACCAACGCATTCACATTTCTGTCCATCTGAGTGGCGCATCTTCATCGGACCGAAGCTGGCGAATTGGGGGATGGTCGGGTGCCAAGGGGATGCCCCCCAAAACACATCCCATCAAGCATCCGCCGCATGGCAGAGCTGCAGCACCAGCAGCAGCCGCCCCTTCATTGCTCGCGCGCGTCACGGGGCGCGCTCTGCGCATCCGGCGCGCCGCGCACGGAACTGCGCGCGGAAGCGCGCGGTGCCGGCTGTGAGCCAACGAAGAGGGCCGGTGGAAGTTAAGCTTTGGTTGTGAGAGGTTCACAGCTCGTTTTTGGGACCCGAAAAATCCTTGCACCCCTCATGCTCACCAAAGCACTATGCACCCGCCCCAAGCAGTAAAGCTCAGCAGGCTCAGCAACTGGTTTGACCTCGGCTTCATGGTGAAACACTGGCTCTCCCACTCCGGGCTTCCCTGGACCCCAATGACCCCAATACATGGTCGTAGTCCTCCCATCATTCCCCTTTTCCCCCGCCATGCGGTTTTTCTGCGATGATTCCACTGGGTACTGAGGAGAACCCTCGAAATGGCCCCCCCAAACTCCTGACATCTCCTGACAAACGTGAACATGGAAAGCCAAACAAAAAGCGCTAAATTAGATGGCCCACGGTCCATTCTCTGTATGCCTCTCCTCTTGTCGAGCTTCACATCCACATGCACCTCCCGTCCTCCCGCAACATCCTCGCCTCGAAGGGACGTGCCTGGTGCGGTGGGTTCCGAGTAGCGGAACCATCGCCGGCGGTCAACGATTGTGAGACCCGTGGCCCTTCCCAAAGAAAGTCCTGTTTGAGCAAGTTTGGGAGCCGTTTGAGTATGGAATCGTTTGGGCGCTTTTGCGGTGGAGGTGCAGTGATGTCCCCGCGAACAACTGGTCCATACTGGCAATCAACAACACCTCAAACGAAGGACCTGTTGCACGGACCAGTCACTTGCTGAATAAGGATATGGCAGCACATCTAAACAGGGGGACCCTGGTTTGACCACCGGAAATTAACAGACCAGGGAGGTCAACCTATCAGGGCGAAATGCGCTCCAGGTTTTGACCCAAAGCCATGTTGCAAAAAGAACCGACTTTAGGGTGATTTGACTCGTCACAGGTCTCACATTTTTCCATGCCAGCTACGCCAGTCACAGGCCTCACAGCCTTCTGGTCCAATGTCTCAACTCTTGTGGTCCTTTGCTCATAGTAACCTCTTGTATTCTCCTGTTCCTAGTGGTAAGGCCAGGAGACCCTAGGGCCCTAGTACAGGTCCTTGCTCCGTTCGTAGCGATGCCCTTGTTCCTGCCTCTAATGCTCCAAAAGGACACCAGCCATGAGGTGCCGGACGCCTCAAACGGCCCAGTCCTACTCCGTTGAGACCAGTCACCCACTCTGTCTGTGGCACGCCCCGAGCCTTGTCCAGTTCCATTCGACCCTCGAGTCGTCCTTCTTCTGATGGATCCGGCTCCTGACCCCGAAGAAGATCCGGCTCCTGGGAGGAAGAAGTCGGGGTGCTCAGAAGAAGAGGAATCAGATTCCAGAAGTTTTTGTGGATCATCTTCCTACAATTGCCTACGGTATTCTTCTGCCTACAGTATGGGATTCTATATATCTTCCTTATAAAATCGGATTCTTTTGCCTACACTATGGGAAGTCTTCCTCTTGCCCTACGAATCTGATTCGTCATATATTGGTATACAGAAAAGGCAAGTCCGAATCAGATTCCAGAAGTGAGAGGAAGTCGGGGTGCCGAGCGTAGGAAGGTCGGGGTGCAGAATTGTGTTATCCACTCGGTTAGACTCGTAGTCGTGACCCGTGGTTTATTACTCCACGACCCAATCCAATTATCAAAACATGCCCTTGGACATCCTTGGACGGGTCATTATGCGGGGGAAGGAACAACAACTCGCCACTACTTGATGTAACAAAGACTTTGGAAGACCGGAGCGAAATCGAAGACCTTCCATCACTTTCCTCTTAAAATCGTTGGCGCTGCCACCCCTCTCCTGGCAGTTCTCTTGTTAGCTTGTCATGCTGCTGATTCTCTTGCTCATGCTGCTGCTGATGCCGCTGCCATCCACCCTGCCAAAAGCCGCTGGCAAAGCAGGACCCGCACGCGTTGTGAAACTTGGCTTCACAGCACCACCTGCCAAGGCTTATGTGAATGCGGCTTTCCCCAGTCTTCCTTCCTCTTCGCAGTCTCAGCTTCAGTTCGGCTCCCTTCATTCAGTTCGGCTTCCCGGCGTCGTCCGCATCGTCGAGGACATCGGACAAACCGTCCTGGACGGCTCGATATCCTCAGGAAAGTTCTGATCCCTGTTACGGTCCGGTTGGATATGTTGCTTGGGCCCAGCACAGCACTGGAGAGTGAGAGGGGGGTAGTTGTGCTACTGCTAGTGCTGTTCGACAGGACTACCGGACAACTGGATTCCCAAACGGAAAAAGGATCCGACTCTTGCCGATCAATCCGTTCACGGTTGATTACAGCGATTGCAGCAATAAAACATCAGACCATACCAGAATGGTGGTAACATCTCCGGATGGCTTTATTAAGACATAGTAACTCCAGAGATTCGGCAGCTACTGTAATAGCTCTGCACAGCACTTGGTTGACGTCGAGCCGGATGGCCGGAGTTTCGACGATTGTCGCCCCCATCGGCTGGCGGTGTGTCAACCATTTGCCTCCCAAAATCGTTGCAAAAAATGACAGAAACAAGTTCAACAATGGTCTAAAACCTCTCAAAACCCATCAAAAACCTCAATGTGCTTGTTGGACTTTCTGTGTGCATGATGCACCCTACAAAAGTCTCGCCTCTCCCAGGAAAAACGGAAAGGATCGATGTGTGCCGGATCCGTTTTCACCTGGAAGTGGAACCAGTGTCCGGAAGACGGATGTTCCCCTACAAACATAGCTGTCCAACTTCAACTTAGAAGTTCACAACTAATTTCAGCCCATTGTCTGGCACCCAAGCAAAGGAAATTCCTGTTCGTGTCACCTGGAGCCTAAAGATCATGTTCAACAATTTTGTCTTCGACTTTGAGGGACTGGTGAGTGGGAGGGCCACGAGGGTCCTCAAGTCCAGCAGGCGGCATTGGGCATTGCGACATCCTGTGAGCTGTATGCTCCGCCCTTTTCTCCGCGTTCTCTGGTGTCGCGTCGATCTAGTCAAAATCTGCGAAAGATCTCGCCGGGGCGGGCTGAAGGTAGACCATATTTACGAAATCTGGCGAGAAAGGAATTACTTTCAAGGCGTTGAGCATCCAGTTCAACTGGGTTCAACATGATTGATCATGATTGGCTCGGTTTCCCAGTGCCCTACCTCCTCCCCGACGTCCCAAAGTATAAAGCTCCACGGCTCTCCAGCGCCGTGACCCCTCAGGCGTTGTACAGGGACTTGACCTGTTTGATTGCAGGTGGCCGGGGACGTCCTCTGGACCGAACGTCGTCTTCGCCCCGCCCCCCAGCTGTTTCGGTCCAAAAGCTGGCGGCTTCGTCGTCCGTCCAGGACTGGCAGAAGAGAAGAACAATCCCAGACAGCCCTGCGTCTCGTCCAAGTGACCATTTTTGATCTGCTTTGAGGGTCTGGTTCGTCACTGGGGTCCGTAAACAGCGGGGCCACCGGCTGGCCAACTCTCACCGTTCGTCACTTGCAAGATCTTTGCCATGTGCCCGGAATAGGTCCCTAAGTGGGTACTTCCACAAAAGAAATCGGAACCCTTCAGGTTCTGCATACGATGTGTGTCATTGGTTCTGGTTGCTCATTGGTTTGGTGGCGCCGGCTAGTAGAATCAGGTCCCTCAAGCTCCTTTGGGTAGTCGTAAAATGCCGATGCCGCCGATGCGAAAGCAACACAACGCATCGGCAGAAAGAACATCTGAGACGCTCCAGAAACAAGGGTGGGACAGGGCTCACGGGTTGGTCAAGATCCGTCGTTCCCGTTCGTGCAGTTCTTCCCGCACGGGTTCGGACGAGTCTTCATCGGTCCATCTGCTCGGACGGAGCTACGTGTCGGTCTCCCATACTGCCCCTCATGCATTCGATACACCACGGAAGTAGATGGGGCAACTCCCATGGCTGTGGGCTGTTGTCTTCCCGGGGGGTGCGCCCAAAAAAAAGATTGGAAGTTTCACAAAGCGTGACATGTTCAACCACTGTCTGGCGGAGCTTCACATGCCAAGTTCAAGCTTGTTCTGCGGCATTTTGTCGTTCACAGACCTGTCGCGCGCCCCTGGAACATCCCTGCCTTGGCATAGAGGGCCTTTCCCTGAGCCGTCTTCCCTCCGACCTAGGAAGGAGGCTAAATCAAACATGTGATGAGTCCTAATGCAGACTGTTGATTGATAAAGTCTCTCAAATGGCCAGGTTTTACAAATCCACATATACACGTAGGGAGTACCCGTCTTCATTCCACAGTTTTTGGTCGGTGAAATATATCATGCCACTTTGGCCTAGATGTCAAGTCAGCTCCCACTCGAGTCTTGATCTGGAGGTGGGCAACCATGAACCGGGCAACTTCACCCCCTCGGGTTTTGGTTTTGCTGTATCTATAGCTAATGCATGGATGGAACACGGAAGAGGCGTCATCTGACGGATTGGATGTGTTTGTTGGACCTGCCACCGCCGTGCAGCGCCGCGTTGATCTCTATCCTGTTTAGCTACTTGGAGTAGCCCGCGTTTTCTGTCGCAAACGGGTGAAGTTGATTGCTTGTCATACTAAATCCCCTCGGCACCGAATCAAAAACGCTGAAGGATGCTCAAAACCACATGCCTGGACCTGCATGGCCCCCAACACAACACCGCACTCTGGGCCCATCCGGCTGGGCAAAAGCCCTTGATCCCGAGTTCCTTGCGCGCCTGCTGGGGCTGGAATGACGGACCGTTGCGAGGGGTCGATACCCAAGAGGGTTTCGACGGAGTAGATCAGCTGGGCGGCGGAGTGAGTCTGGAGGGAGTCGGAGTGGCAAGTTCTGATCATGAGGATGATGTCCTCTACACCTCATAGAAGTGGATGGCATGACCCCTGACCTGGAAAGACACAAATCTTCTACAAAGAGGGGGTTGTCCAAGAAACCGTGTTTGTTGGAGGGAGGCATTGTTTTATCTACAGTATAGACATATCATGACATATCTGTTTTTAAATAGTGAATTGGGATGATGTGCGGTGTTAACCTCTGGAAACAAAAACTGCTGGTTTCATGGCACACTTCTGGCAGTGCCCAAAATGTGCATTCGGTCAGGAGTTGCCCATTTCCAACCCCAATAGCGCGACAGGTTGGAGGTGGTGGGGCGCTAGTTCAGGGTTCCCTGACCTGTCGCGGAGCGATGTTCGTCTACGTCTGACAGTGGAAGAAATACTGCTCAGCCCTGGCTTCCACACAGACACAACAAGTTGTCTTTAAAAACGAGCGGAGCCTGCGGCCTGAACGATGGCTTCGCTTTGGGGCGTCGTCCCCCGACTCAGGCGCGACAAGTTTGTGAGGCACCCGACTTGGAGCGTTCTGATCCAGAAGAAACGCTATAGGCTATAAGGACCCGTACCCTTGATGGGAGCTGATGGAGCCCTGTCCCACCATGAGCGCAGCGAAAGAAACGTCCCCGTACCACAGGAGGTCGAAAGAATTCAACCACTCCAACTCGCATCGTCCATCTCACCCTATCCTCCGGACTCCTTGCGAGTCTCGAACCACTCCACAGACCCTTTTCCGCTTGAAAGGATCGGCGTTGAACGAAGGAGGGGAGGAGTCCGAGGACGGGCCCCCAAAAATGAAGAGTGGAGTCGACCGACGCGCCTGTTGGCAAGCCTTCGTCCAGCCAGAGATGTTCTTGTAGTTCTTCTTGGCCGCGGCGTGCGACTTCTTGGTCACCTGGTCGGCGAGTCGATCGGTCCCCTTTCGGCCCGGTCCCAGGGGGAAGGAGTGGAACGTGTTTTTCCCCCTTCGAGACCCCAAAATCTGCCCACCGGGCAAAACAAGACGCAACTTGAACTTCAAAGCCGTCATGAGTAGGCAGGCTTATGGCCTATGGTTTGAAGCTGCGGACCTGTCACTCGATTCAGTCACTCCTTGGTGCGATTGAAATGACCTTCGGTTCTTCACCCATTGAACTTCCGCCAAGCGACGATCTTGCCACGCTTGTTCTTCCTAGGCTCGTCTGGCAGTGGGGGGCCCTTTCTAAGCATCAAATCTACACCACTTGCGTCGAAAAGGGTGCATCACGCGATGAAGCTGGGGATGTTCTCCTACATTCAGCTCTTCCAGCGGGGTGAGAGTAGAGGGCAAAACAAGAGTCCCTTTGGGAGACACATCTGTGGTTCATGGACCAGCCCAGAAGCATCTACGAACACGTCAACATGCAAAGTTGTTGAAATCGCCCTCATGCCTCTGCATTTCCCCTTCCTGAGGTTGTAGAGTGAAAGGCCAACAAAGAAACACCCAAATCCTAAAATACCTGTAAGTGTTGCCTCTGCACAACAGGTCTCCTCTGGTCGGAAATGGGTGAAAGATCTATCCCTGTTGATGGGCCTCTGCATCCTGAGGACTAGTTTAGGTCGCTCAAAACCCCTGTGTCTTCCTGTGGGTGTGTGTCGCCCTCTGTTCCCAAGAGAATTTTCATCTAATTCGATCAGCAGGGGCCAGCGCATGGCATCACGACGCTGGCCAACGAAGCTAGTGAAGTCATGGGAAGCAGTCAGAGACATCTGACTGTGTACCTGCCTGTTGCCGAAGCTGTTCACCCCAATCTTCTGTAAACTGTTAGTGCAAGTGTTAAACCTTTCAGTTCGACTGACCCCACATTCTTGCCGTTCCTTCAAGATCTTCAAGTCAAGAGCTAGGTAGTGACTTGTGATCCAGCTTCAGCCCTTGTGCTCATCCAGTTGAGATATCTAAGTGTGCATGGTGTGCTCGGACCCGAGTCAACAACACCTACTTAAGATTTGAACGTGCTTTTCAACAACCTTGAGGGAGTTCCTTCTGTTTTGCTAGATTTCCTAGATTAGAGCCTTTCAAAAATTGCCCCATGTCGTGATGGAAAACGATTCCATCATATTGCATCTTGATACCTTTGGCCTCAAACCCCTTGTCTTCCACCCCTTTTTGCATCAACAAAATGCCGGCCGAAACTACGTCATCAGACCGCGGACTTTCCGTTTGGACCCTCGCACGGCCGGTGGACAGATCGGACGCTGGTGGCCAGAGAGCCTATGCATTCGGGTGTGTATTTCAATGGGGAGATCCCCAACCAAGGGGTTTGGGGTCTATGTTCCTTCTTCCAGGGCTTCGTTGCCTTACACACGCCTTTGATCGCTCTGGCCGCTGGAAAAACACCTCCACTTCCAAAAAGCCGGTCTCCAAACTACCGGTGTTACCTCCTTGTTCCGCCACTTTGGCCGCCCAGGCACATCAGGTCCGACTTCTTCAGGCCGGTGTAGGTCTTCTCCTTGCCTCCCGCAAAGACCGAGTAGCGCGCGTGAGCGCCCTTGGCGATCTTGCTCACTTTCATGGCCTCCGCGCGGAGCGGAACCGCGGAGCAACGGCCGAGCGCCGACATCCGCGCGCCCCAACAAGACGGGAGGTGGGAGGTGATGAAGCGTCAGTGTGAATTATTGGTCTGGTGTGATCATTCTTTGTGGTCATGTTCGGTAGCATCCCACATGAAAGAAAAGAGTCTAGTATACCCAGACGCTCCATGGGACTGGCATATTTGCATACATTGGGGGTGGTTTTGGGGGGGTCAATGTAGGCATATATGGCATACATGGCGTCTGGTTCTCCCGTCGCTTGACCGTTGACGCTGCTTGAGAGGTACTGCACACATCAGGGCACCTACCGTCCACAATGACGTGAGTATCGCATGAAAGCACACTCTACCCTCGTACCCATCGGTTCTTAATCTGAATCTGGCTCACGTGTGGTTGATGCCCAGGACTTCTTGGCGCAGAAAGACGCCAAGAATCGACGAACGAATTTGTCCTGCAGCAACCCCGTGCCTTCATCGCCTTCATGGCCTTCATCGCTTTCATGGCCTCCGAATTGGCTTTGGTGGAAGAATCTGGAGGGACCAAAGAAAGAGCAGTTCTTCCAGTTCTGCAGAATAACACACCTCATCTATACCTCATGCCCTATACATAGCCCAGCAGCCAAGCCTGCACATGACATTTGGCATACCTCAATAACAAGGTGGAGGCTCCCACGGTGAGTTCCTATATAAATTATAGAAACGACGCCCAGGGCAATTCTCTTTCAAAAAGTTCACAGCTTTCAACAAAGAGAATAAAGGGTACAAGGGACTATCTATACAAACTGGTGCTGAATATGTAATACACACACAAATATATAGTTTTATAATGTTTTATAAATCCGTAATTCTGTGTGTGTATACCAACAGGCAAGCTGAAGCCTTCAAAAAAAAGAACAAAATCCTCTGCCTTCATCGCTTTCATGGCCTTCATCGCCTTCATGGCCTGCCGTTCGTCTCCAACATGCTGCTCGGCTGAACGCTTCCCCAAAATGAATCTGCAAATTTCAATGCAGAGAACACCCGCCTCCCCCGGGTTGACTGGTCTATGCATCTCCCAGGCAGGACACCCACGGCCGTTCGAGTCGACTCCCCATGGCGCAAACCGGCGCCACCGGAGGTCGCCACATGGCCCAGGTATGGCCCAGGGAATCAAGGAGTCGGGTGCAAAAAGGCCAAGCCCAGGGAAAATGAGGTCGATCCTGCCGAATCTTCCCCTACCAGCACAGGTTCTTAGTAAGCCCTGACATGTCTGGCCGAAGGTGGGCCATTCTGCTGGCTCAAAACCAAACTCTTGGGGGTCTTTCCTCTTTGTCATTGTCATTTCTAGAGTCTAGAGGGTGCATTGTCTATTGTCCTTCTTCCAGGGGGTCGTTGCCTGGGAGGTCTCCCAATTGGCATGCACACCCATCACCCAGATATACCAAACATACATATATTCTCAGGCTATGCCAGCAATTCTGCCGCAGCACTCCCCGCCCTCCTCGTTGGCCGGGCCCGCTACGGCCGGCGCACCCATCCAAACCAACCAAGGACTATCCCCGGCCACACTCCATATAGAGGACACATGAAACCAACCCCGTTCGGTGGGCCAATATGTCACTTCCATTCGTCGTGAATGGAACGAATCCCCAACCACCTCCAAGCCCCTGGGCCTTCATCGCCTTCATTGCGCGCATTGGGATGGCCATGGCGAGCAAAGGATGGGCACGGGAGTGTGCGAGCGATTCGCGTGGGGCGCGGGGATGGTGGAGTCCAAATGGCTGCGGTCCGGAACGCCCTCTCATGACATGCCTGGTGTTTGATATGCATGTTCATCAGGAGACTGCCTGGCCCCGGGTGGGTCGACTGGTCCATTTTCCTTTCTTCCAGGAGGTCGTTACGCAAGTCCAACTTTTCCGATGCTACGACCGGCTACGACTTGGCCCGACACCAGCGATGTGTCGGAACATGCGTTCCGAACATCAGCGGTGCCTGGCCCGACCCCATCAAGAACACCCTCAACGCCCAAGCTGGTGGCATCACCGAGTCAACGGTCGGCTGGACCAATAGGGAATCAGAGTCCCGACCGGTCTGTGATCACAGTTTCACCCAAACCCCACCTGCTGGGGTTTGTAGGTTCCGTAGAATACCCAGACACGACTAATGGGACTGCCATATATGCCTACATTGGGGTGGTTTGCGGGGCCAATGGGGCGGCAGTCCGTCATGGCAGTCCCAGACGGGTCGTGTCTGGGATACATCAGTTGGAATGCCCCGTGTTGGACGCCTCGTGCGGGAAGACACCGCCGCGCATTCCGCCGGTCGTCGCCGGTCGTGTCCGGTCCAAGACGCCCTCGCCATGGGCGACGCCGGGAACACCGACGCCCGGGATCGAAGCGTTGGTCGTGTGAAGTGGGTGTGTCCAAAGACCTTACAATCCAACAGAGGTTAAGTGACCTGAAGTAGGACCCTACCAGGGTACCGAACTGGGATAGCCTATAGGGTTCTTCAACCTCTGTTGGATAGTCTGACGTGGCCGACAAGGATAGAAAAGGGAACGTCCTTTACTTCTATGTATAAAAGATCAACAAAAACGCTGTGTGTCGCCCCATGTCGCCCCCTCACTGGAGCCAGCCGAGCTGGGCATGGCGACGGATGATTGTCAATTGATTTCAACTTGCAGGAGATAGAGATGCACTCCCTCGAACCATCCATGCTTTTGCGGAAGACCACGATGGTAAGTTGACGAAAATGGTCGTCCGAATTCGGGGCCATGTTCATCAGGAGGCCCCCTCCCCTTAGCCCTGGCTGGGTAGACGGGTCTGTTCCTTTCCTCCAGGAGGTCGTTGCCTAAAAGGCCCACCTCTTTTAAAATCGTTTATTATAATACTCACCCAATCTCCACATCTTGTGACCCTCCCAAACATCCCAAACCTGCACTCTCTCACAGCGTTGGCATTGCGCCATGACCCCACTGGCTCAACAGAGCCAATGATTCTATGACTGATCCCTCCGCCTGGTCACCCTCAAAATATATGCACTCCCTACCTTTGAGTCTTCCACGGCAGATTTTTCATGTTGGATGGAACAGGTGTGTTGGTCACTTCTTCCATTGAAAGTTTCGGAGGCGTTCATCCTTGACTACGTTCACGGCATAGCCGTGGCATAGCCATAGCCAGAGCCATAATGCTCCTTCGAATGCAGCCCATAGCCACGTCCCTTTTCCACCTGCACCCCCAAGTCCTTGAGCTGACGTCTGGACACGGCTCAGTTTTGGTGGGCACGGCACGGTTTTGTGGGCACGATATGTTTGATCTCATCTCCAAATCCGATGTTTGATCTCATTCGAGCTCAGTTGAGATACCTTTATTTCAGAGCTTCAGACCTGATAAGTCAAACAAGTGACGCCCACCGATGATGTATGAATCTGGTCATGAGCATGCCATGTTCCGCACTGTGCCCTCAAAGCCACGCCCCACATCAGGAAGTACGGTGGCCGTCGCATGCGCCCGAATCTTTGCTCCTGCACCTCTTAGTTGGGGCGCAAGGAGAGGGCGCCAGCTGCAGGAAATTCTTCTTCACTGCCGTGCGGAACGGTGCCAACCACGCGCGACGCGATCCGCGCGGTGCGGCTTCGGTCGCGGCTTCCGCGTCTCGTGGCGCCGGGCGGAGCTCACCTCGTCGCACTTGTCGGCCACGGACGTCAACTAGGGTCCCTTCCAGAGGACCTGCCGGCTTTCGCGGAAGCTGTTATATTTGCTAACTACTGTTTATAAGCCAAGACGTGGCACTGAACAAATCGTGTTGAATCACATCTCCGGTGATGCCTCACATCTGGTCTTTGCTCCAAGATGGGGCTGCCTTGAGAATCCACAGATTTTGTGTCTGACCCGAAAGAGATAAGTTGGGTCTATCACCCTCAGTAGCAGTCGCAGCAGCAGCAGTAGTGGTACTAGTATGGTAGTAGTGGTAGTAGTGGCGGTGGTAGTAGCAGTACAGGCCTTTCTCCAACATATTTGTAATTGTTTGCCGACCGTTACAGGTAATAGGACAGAGACCCTATATATAAGGCACATGTACAGTATCGTATATAGTATATATGTCAACATCCTTCAATTGATTGACCGCCTCTTCAGCCAGGATTACCCCAGGGGGTTGACTCACCCTGACATCTTTATGGCACCTCAACATGAAACCTCATGATGGACCCCGACGTGTCAGGACCAAGAAGGCTACCTACTCCTGGAAGAAGGATCCGCCTCGCCATCGCACAGCAAGGGCCCAAGCCAGCTGCCATGGATACGACCAACCTGGATCGGACGCTAAGACTTGGAGATGGATTGAGGCTCAGGCGGCTGGATTGCTGGATCGCCGAAACTTGGCCGACCAAGCACCATGGCCATACAAGAGTCATGGAGGAAAAAGAATAGTATTCCTCAAGCCCAGACTCAGACCTAGACTTCTATGCCCCTCAGCTGAAAACGGGTCAAAACCATTCAGCCATCTTCAGCTCCACTTCAGATGGTGTGGGCCAAAAAATAGGGGGAACGCATCTTCATCCGGGAAGAAAAAGAACAAAAACACAAACAAGATCCATCACCAGGGCCCCCCCAGGATCCCTAAAAGGTGTCTCATCATAGCCCCTTAGAGGGTTTTTTGTCAGCGATGTCCCCTATGACGGGCGCACAACCGTCATCGACGGAACCAGTGATCGGGTCATCTCTGAACCAGGCATTTGGATCGAGCAAGGGGGGCACCTCCTAGGGATTTCGCTCGGCAGCAGTTCCAAAAAATGAGGTTTTGAGTCCCCCAAGTGAGAGGATAATCCCCCCTCTCCGTGTCGACCTCACTGATCGCTCGAGGCCTGGTTTTACATCTCCAGGCCTGGTTTTCCAGAAATTCCACAGTCTCCATCATGTTTCTTGGCAAACCCATCCAGGCTCAAGAAGACCCCGCAAGCCTCTGCCCCTCGGGCATCTCTCAGCACACCCTTGATGTCCTCCTGCCACGTCGAGCATCCAACTGCCAGATCTTCCCTGAAAACATCTGAGAATGCTACAGAGGTTGAATGACCATATATACCATAGGTACCCCAGTGGGGTCCTATAATGTCACTTGACCTCTCATGGATGCTACAGAAAACGCATCTTTCCAATGAACTCTTGTCAAGCCTTGGCCGCAAATACCTCTCCACCCGCACCAAAACGGAGATACACGAGATACGCGTAACTCACGCAGGTCCGACCGCTGGAACGCCCGGCGCCCGTGAACGGTGCCCGGCACGGCGGGACGGGCCTGCGGGACGCCCCGGCCCTTCTCAAAGTGGCCAAAGCTCAGCTGGCACTGGCAGAAGAGGCGGCTTGCCGTGCAAGAAAAATTGCCGGATGGTATGTTTCATCTATGGTTCTTCCAGCCTCTCCAAACACCAAAAGGTGCAGAATTCATCTTCCAAACCTTTGAAGCAGCAGCAGCCGCAGCAGCAGCAGCAGCAAATGATCAACACATCCTGACCCTTCAGAACTTCAATCCACAATTCTTCATGGTTGGTCTGAGTTTTCTCAGAAATAACCAGAAATTCTGACCTTCCCCCACCAACAATTTCACCCACGACCCCAAACTGGGCACATCCCAAAACGTCACCGCGGCGCAAAACGACGACACGACGCCTGGTTCCCCAAGTTGTCGGAGAACGTGGCAGGACCTCCAAGCGTTTGGAACACGAAGGCCGTCACAACATGGAAGTGGCAAATGGGTGTGCATTCAAAGTTTGGGGGAGACCTCCCAACGAACCCCTGGAAGAAAGGAAATAGACTAAAATCCATTGGTTGGAGGTCTCCGTTATTGAAATGCACTCTAATGAATGGTCCCTTGGAAAACGATTTTCCTTTAAAACAAAGGAGCTGAATCCTATTTCCATGTTGCATGTGTTCGTCGGAGTGTACCTGCGTGTGCATGTGTGTCACCCATATGCCAGCCCCCCCTCCACCCGGTACCCTTTATCCACTCACTTGCCGAGACTAGAAACCCCTCCCTTGGACGGGCTTGGGTTTTTCGTTTCACTGCACACCAGGCTCGTTCCGGGAAGGGCGTTCCACTTGGGCTGTCTGGCCGTGCCATTCGTAGGTCGAGCCAGCTCCCAGTCGATGAGAGCTGAGGGCAGCGGGCAGCGGCCAAGTCGGAGCGGCTCGGTGTGGCCAGGTCCGGGAGGTGCAATAAGGGAAACGAAAACCATTGAAAAAATATCTACCGCCACCTAAATTATTTGGGTGCATCCCACATATGTAAAACAACATCCTACTATATCAAATATATTCAAATATTCCCTTTTTTTGTGGCGCAAAAACAGGCCAGGGAGAATCGGGGTGGACGTGATTTCGTTGGCTACTGAAGAATCGAGGGAGAGTGAATAGTGTGAATAGCAAGTGCAGCAAGTACAAAGTTACATAAAGTTACTATTATTTTGAAGTACCGTAACACTGATCTTGATCTTGATATAAATCGATTGCGAGCAAACAGCACAGACCCCAAGAGGTGGTTTATATGGACCCCCATCTATAAAAGAGTCTAAAGACATGTGCGGGTTGAAGCTGCTGTATGTGCGAAGTTCCAGAGCTCCGAGCTCTGTTGGTTCCTTCTGCTCTGAAACCATCTGAAACCACTGCATCTTGATGGTCAATGAGGGTTGATCCATCAACCCTGGGATCTTCAC